CCCCGCCACACCTCCTCTTTACCCCCGCCACACCTCCTCTCTACCCCCGCCACACCTCCTCTCTGGAAGAGTACTCGAGGCTGCAATATTTACAGTCGGAGCTAAACTTCAGGAACAGTAACATAAGGAGATCTTGCTAAATTCAATTTAGAGATGGAAAAGTAGATAGATAGAAAGACAGTTAGATAGATAAATAATTTCAATCTTTACTATAAACGCACCCTTACCCATATTAAACTTGTGTTACAGCTTTCCCTCAATATTTAGTTCTTTGTTTTATATCTTTACCAGAGTAGAATAAATGCAATTCTTCATATTTAAGAGATTCAAGGGACCATGTATTCAATGAATAGCGCTGGCCAGGGAAGTTAAAGAGAAGCGCTTTATACTTCTTAAGTGAAATGATCCAAACTATGGCCAATTTCTTAATTATGCTGCCATAGTCACACTATGGTTACGCTCTACCAGTATAGATAGATAGATACGACCAATGTTTGTACCTAGCACGATTAAGAAATTGGCCACTATATAGTGTACCTGCTAAAGCTATTTAACTCGCTAAACATTAAGTCTGGTCCCTGGAGTAAGCTCCTTCAATTTAGACTCTTTCCAAATTTTCTTAATGTTTTCTGTTTTTTTATGTCACAGTTTTTAAGTGATTATTTCCCTAAACACATATCTTATTGTTTTTAAAACTAGAATACAAAAATACATTCCGCTAAAAAATCCTTGCGCTCGATTCAGATTGTGATATAACAGTAATACAGGGTTAACCACCAAGGATGATACGTTAATGATATAACAGTAATACAGGGTTAACCACCAAGGATGATACGTTAATGATATAACAGTAATACAGGGTTAACCACCAAGAATAAAAACTATTCTCGTAATTTGGAAGTATAAGAAACAAGTTTACAGTTGCGGGGAACCATGAATGCAAAAAAAGGCTAAATAAATTCGTCTCTGAAGTCTCAACCTTTGTGTGTAGCGCTATACATATTAATATTTATATGCATACATTGTACTTTTAATTAAAGTAAATTTTTCAGAATTTTAGGATAGGATAAATTCAGATAAATTCACATTTGAAATTTTATTTTTAGAAGGTTCACTTTTTTACCAAAATTTATGATTATGTCATATTTTGTTTCGCCTTCTGAAGAGAATTTTAAAAAGAAGAAGACAAATTAAGATTCCTTAAAAAAATACTTTTAACTAAAATCTTTAAAATTAATCCATAAAACTAAAATCCTTGAAAAAAATCCTTAAAACTAAAATCCAGAAAAATAATCCTTAAAACTAAGATCCCCATTCTCCATAAGATTGATCAGTCAAAACCATTTACCCTTCATCAATCATTTGTTCTTTATTCCTCCCAATCCATTTTTCCATATATTTAACCCCTCAATCTATACATATGATATATATATATATCAACGTAAATATGTATTATGTTATATGTTTAAACAATTGCAAATTTCCGATTACAATATTACTTCCTACACACCCCTATTACAGCCCGACTCCGCCCTAAACACGTCAAAATCCTCACCTATAAAACCATACTCCTCCGCCCGTACATAACCATATTCCGCCACTATACAACAATACTCCGCCCATATGCAATAATACTCCGCCGTTATTCAATCATACTCCGCCCATATTCAACCTTTCTCCGCCCTTATACAACCATAATCCTCTCTATTCAACTATGTTTTACCCTATTCAACCATACTCTGCCCCTATTCAGCCATTCTCCGCCCCTATTCAACCATACTCTGCCCCTATTCAGCCATTCTCCGCCCCTATACAACCATACTCTGTCCAAGGTTATAATGCAAGGAAAGTTATTTCATTAGTGTACGCATCTTTTGTACTTCAGTGTACTGTCTATGGGCGGTTATGTAAACACAAGACGGATTTCACAGCCTCACATGGGATCCATCTTTCACATAAAAAATTAATGAAATATTCTGGTCATAGGAAACTATTATGTGAATTATCAAATTTTCTAAATTCAATGCTTATATCCTCCTCGGATACTAAACGAACACTGATGCATTCTTGTTTACAAATTCCGCCCAGAGAGAACTGGTTTCAATATGTACGCAGAGTACACGCCACTGCAATTAACTTCCCTTGCATTATAACCTTGACTCTGCTTGCATTTTAAATCTAAATCTAAGTCCACCCCTAGAAGACCATGCTCCGTTCCCATAAAACCATAATCTGCACTTATAAGACCAAAGTAGGGACCCAAAAACACATATCTATACTTCATCCTCAGAAAGCCATTATCCGACCTTAAAACTAGGGTTTCCAATGCTAGTGGATTTTACTTGCGCGCAATTGCGGGCCCTGTAATTTCCTCTCAATTCTGCAATATTCCACGCAATGCGAGAACAGTTGCGAGCAATTCCGAGCAACGGAATTCCGATTGGAAAACCTACTTTAATCCCATAACCCGGCTCTTTAAACCATATTTAGTTTCTATACACCCAACCAAATCACTTCTTTTCATCATTAATTAAATGTGAGTATGCTATAAGTGAGACTGGCAGGGTTTGTGTACAATCTTTTTTTATGATGTACAAGGACTGCTTTGAACTAGTTATATCTAAACAGTTATAAATATGGTAAACCAAAGTTGGAATTTATTTGGAAGGTCTGACATGTGAAACTTAATTGTTTTCCAATTGCTGCCAGCTTATCAATAAAATGTGTACAATCCTCCCCCCTCCCCCGATCCTTCATAGGCCACAATCGAAGGCTTAAGAGTAACGACACTTTACCAGCCTTAATCTTATGTATATATTTCATACTTTGGTTTCTTTTGTTTAATCAATTTTTCTTATGGACATGTATATGCTATATCAATATGCTTCATTAATAGGATTGATAACATATTCTAAAACTTAAATCTGGAAAGTATTAATTATTCCTACAAGAGCTACAACAATATAAATTAATTTCGATAAATAAAGTTAAAATCTAATTTTCTCAGAGTTTTGAAGAACCAAGGTTTAATTAAAACGATGTCAGAACCATACGGAGAATTTACATTCTTAAATGAATTTGATGAACACTGTTCTGGGCTTTTATATGAAAATATGAAAAGTTTGCAAGTTTCTAGTCTAAAGCTTTATTTTATCATTTGTTCATATAATTGGTTACAAGTGTTTATACGGCACAATAAATAAATATTCTTCATACTAGAAATATCAAATAAAGCATTAATTATTTACAACTATTTGAAAAATATGAANTTATTCTGAAAACTTTAAAATAGTTATTATTATATTCTCCCCATCTAAAACCGTTTAAAACTTCAGCTTGGTGTTAGTATCAAAAGTAGGAAATTGTTTAAAAATATTTAGATAATTGTATTTTCCAGAAATATAAAGATCCCTATCGATTGTTGTGATCAAGAGATCCAGTGACAAACTTCAAAATATAATTTGGATAAAATGTAAAAGAAAGAATTAACTAACAGTGATTCAATCGAGCATGCTTCAAAAATGGATGAAAAAGCCTTTGGTAAAAGACAAGAAACGAAAAAAGGCAGAAAATCTGGAAAAATCTTTCCTCAAAATGGCAGTTTAACTCCAAATGGCGAATATCGCCGGACTTTACAGTTTTGGTGACCGTGGCGGAGGTCCCTGTGATGGCGAGCATTCAACCAATAGAAACAATTTTAAACTAAACTTTGTGAAGAAAGGACGGATTGATGTGGGGAATGGATGGTTTACTGGTCTCAAAGGAAATATCATTACATTTATTCAACTCCAAATTATATAGGCTATAAATATTCGGACGAGAATCAATTCCTTTTACCAGGATTGTCACTGATAAAATTGTCACATTTCCGGTTTTCGGTCCTTTTTCTGATCGTTACTTTGTGCATAAAGTAACCTTGATCATTCTCAGAGATTATAGGCCTAGCCTGAAACATACAAGAGATAACGCACATATTTTCTAATCATCTTTGCGGTCAAGACTGTTCTGGTTTTCTTAGTTTCTCCTGGTTGTTCCTGGTTTCTACTGGTTTCTCCTGGTTTCTCCCGGTTTCTCCTGGTTTCTCCTGGTTTCTCCTGGTTTCTCCTGGTTTCTCCTGGCTTCTTCTGGTTTCTCCTGGTCTCCCTGGTTTCTCCTGGTTTCTCCTGGTTTCTCCTGGTTTCTCCTGGTCTCCCTGGTTTCTCCTGATTTCTCCTGGTTTCTCCTGGTTTCTCCTGGTCTCCCTGGTTTCTCCTGGTTTCTCCTGGTTTCTTTTGGTTTTCCTTAATTTCTTCCGGTTTCCTTTGTTAACTGTGGCTTCCCCTTTTCTCTTATCTTTTTCTTCAAATTCAAAAATCCTGAGTTGGCAATTCTAAAACTAAAATTGAAAAGTCCGAGAAAGATAAATATAAAGCTGGAAGAAACCTACATATATATATATACATAATTCTAAATCATGCTTGTGATACGTTTATAAATATATATTGTAAAATACTGAGAAATATTTCACTTCTTTCCTTTAATCGTTTGTTTTAGTCAGTCTAATAAGCTCTGTGTCCGAATTTAATGAATTTAAGTCGCGTCTCAAATCCTCTCGAAAACCAGTTTCAATTGAGCGCCGCTTAAATCTTGAAAATTTGAATACAATTTTAAGTGGAACCAATTCTTAAAATTCGGCCTCAGTACTTGTTAAAAAGCAATTTGTTGAACATTACACGAAAATGTTTGCGTGGTTTAACCAAGTTTAGCCTTTTCTCATACCAACTACAATATATCTTCCTTTTTCTTCTCTTAAATTCAAATGTTGAATAAAAAGACAATTTATATCAAATGAACGCACACTTTAGAATTGCTTCCAGTCAAAAGCAAACTTGAAATTTCATCTGACATTTCTGAATAAAAACAGAAAATATAGAACATTTTAAACCTAAAAAGATCAGATAGACAGTATACAAATCAAAAATATAAGAAAATAAAAACTTAAACAGTTTTTGCTATTTGTAAACAAAAAACGCACCTTTTAAAATTTTTGTTTTAAATAGTTTCCAAAATTTAGATTTTCAAGGATTACAACATAATTTTTTTCAAATTCTTTGATTTTAAAGCATTAAAAGATTAAAAGATTTCTTTCTCGGTTTCAATTTAGTAATCTTATTTCCAAATCCATTCTTTCCTTGTCTTTCCTAGTTCGAAGTTAAAGAGCCTTTTGATTTAATTTCATTTTACTTTTATAAAATCAATAACGTCGAATATATCGTCGTTTATCTAGCTTAAAAAGCCAACTTCCTTCATTGTCTGAAGCAGAAGTGTGCACAAGTCACAAAAGAATCAAAACAAAAAATTAAATATTTTAAGTTAAAAGCATGAACTTTTCCATTTTTTTTAATTTTTCCATCACAGAAAGAACATGCCACTTGAAATAATATCTACAGTTCCTTTAAGCAGAATTATAATATTCTTCAAGTTTGGGAAAACTGTTTGTAAGAATTATATCTTTCTATCCTTAAACTTAGCTTATTTATGGCTCTGAATAAAAGTATAAAAGTAAACAGAACATTTCAGCAAGTAGAATAGTTTTTCTTTTTATTCCAACAAACAGACAGGATAATTTACGTTAAAATAGATAAACTCACAGCAGTTTTAGAATTATAATGAGCTGTAGCCTGTACATTATAATAGAGAAAGAAAAATATTTTTTTAGATAATTCTTTACACATATAATTTGTGTGGCCGTAGCACACGGCCCTCCTTGCCTATCATAGCCACAGATGCTTGGCCTTCTTAGTCTGCCAGAGCCACAGCGCCCGGCCCAAAATTTGTCTGAAACCGATCTAACCCTGAAAAAATACAAAATATTTATTATAACTCCGTGTTGAAAGATTGTTGAAATTGTTACCTCTTTACATTGACATTCAGAACCCTTGTTACCTCTTTACATTGACATTCAGAACCCTTGTTACCTCTTTACATTAATATTCAGAACCCTTTTTACTTCTTTACATTGACATTCAGAACCCTTGTTACCTCTTTACATTGACATTCAGAACCCTTGTTACCTCTTTACTCTTTCTAAGGCAGTCACGCATCCGAACACCAACACAGTTCAATTGTTTTCTTAATTACTTAATCTTAGTTTAGGAAATTAAACTAAAATTATTAAATCTTATTTTTGTCTCTAAAGAATGAGGGTTAAGCCCCATAATTTTGATCTAATTAGCGTGGTTAAACTTTTCATGCATTTATTAGGAAACAGACCATGTACTTGCTTGCCAACAATGAATAGATGAAATTACTGGTTAACCTCCAATGATAAGATTAAGTATAAAAGTGGCTGGTTTACCTCCAGTGAATAGATTAAATATAAAAGTTTACTGGTTCACCTCCAATGAATAGATTAAGCATAAAAGTTTACTGGTTAACCTTCAATGAATTGATTAAGTATAAAAGTTTACTGGTTCTCCTTCAATGAATAGATTTAGTATAAAAGTTTACTGGTTCACCTTCAATGAATAGATTAAGTATAAAAGTGTACTGGTTCACCTTCAATGAATAGATTAAGTATAAAAGTGTACTGGTTCACCTTCAGTGAATAGATTAAGTATAAAAGTTTACTGGTTCACCTTCAATGAATTGATTAAGTATAAAAGTTTACTGGTTCACCTTCAATGAATAGATTAAGTATAAAAGTGGCTGGTTTACCTCCAGTGAATGGATTAAATATAAAAGTTTACTGTTTCACCTCCAATGAATAGATTAAGTATAAAAGTGTACTGGTTCACCTCCAATGAATAGATTGAATATAAAAGTTTACTGTTTCACCTCCAATGAATAGATTAAGTATAAAAGTGTACCAGTTAACTAAATAGTGTACCGGTTATAGCAAAAGTTCTTTACCCCGTATTCTATATTTCTGAGTATCAGTATTTCTTTGAACTCAAATTGATTCTTAGATATTACTATATATATTGTGATGTTCAAAGTTGAAAGGGTTGGAAAACGACATGAGAGAGGGGAATATATTCATTTATATATTCATTTGCATAGTCATATATGCACTATACTTTCAAATATATATTAAAATATATACAGGGTGTCTCTGCAAAAGTGTGCTTAAGATTTTTCGCCTGCTAAGCGTCGTTTTATTGCACTAAAAAATGTATGTTTGTAATAATATGCCAATGTAAGGGAGTGTCGCCGATAAAACATTTTTATTTGATTCGAAACACATTGATTACAAACTTTTTAGAGAGAAATGACAAATGTGTAGCATAAAGATACATAACACCCAGTAAGCCAAACAGCTTCAGATAATCGGATATATTTAAACAATTCTGCTCTTGGGTGATTTTCAAATATTTGAAAATCTATTAAATATGTGTGTGCAAAATTCTCACAAATTTTGCAAAATATACCAGTGCAATACAGTAGGGTAAAAAACGCAATAAACTGTTGAAAGTTTTAATTATAGCTGTTTTGATTAAAATCTGAATTGTACAAAGCTTTGAAATTAAACCCTTCTTGGAATAATTAAAAAAAAGTAAAATCAATAGTTTGAATATATACTAAATGTATGAAATGTACTGCCATGTTTTTGATGTAATATACTGCCATGTATATGATGTAATGTACTGCAATGTATAAGATGTAATGTACTGCATATTTTATAATTTCAAGAAAAGGTTCTTTAGTATACAAATGCATAGATAGAGATTTATTTATGGTTAGGACACAACACAAGCCTTCGATCATAGACAATTAATACAATCATAACCAGCCATATATATATATATAAATATATGCATACAGATATCTACATATTTATATATGCATCTATATATATTAAGTTGTAATCTCTGTTTGTATGTTGGTCTGTCTGTTTGTTTGTCCGATCATAACTCAGAAACCCCTGGATCGATTTGCCTCAAAATTTGATTGGGGAACTCGGGAGACCCACGGGATTGGGTCGACTTTAATCGCGAAATTTTAGTTTCCCGGTAAAATCGTTAAAGTGCGGGTAAACAGCGTTGTTTACTTGTAGTAACCTGGGCAGCGCTGGGTTCCCAAGCTAGTTGTATATAAAGTAGTTGTTTTGATGTCAAATCATAACTCATGAAACCCCCTGGACTGATTGGTCTCAAATTTTGATGGGTAACTAGGTTCTAGATTCTAGATTCTAGATTCTAGATTCTAGATTCTAGATTCTAGATTCTAGATTCTAGATTCTAGATTCTAAATTCTAGATTCTAGATTCTAGATTCTAGATTCTAGATTCTAAATTCTAGATTCTAGATTCTAGATTCTAGATTCTAGATTCTAGATTCTAGATTCTAGATTCATGATTCTAGGTATTCTAGGTTCTGGATTCTAGAATCTAGATTCCAGATTCTAGATTCCAGATTCTAGATTCCAGATTCTAGATTCCAGATTCTAGATTCTAAATGAAACATGATTTTAATAAGATTAATTCCACACGGTTAACCCAGCTGAATTAATGAATCGAAATATTGGAGAAAAGAAAAAAGTTTAAAAATTAGAGGAAAATATCTTTAGATAAGAATACCATTACTCCATTAAGTACGTACACAAAAATTTTTTTTTATAAAATGATAGTGCTTTAGAATTCTCTATTCAGGTTTTGTAAGAACCCTGTTTTAAAAAGCTTCTCTTAAAACCCTTGTTAAAAAAATCTGAAATTGTTGAACACCCTGTTTTATAAAAATCTTATAAGTTTGTCTAGCAGACAATTTATAAGTTTGTCAAAAACACTGTTTTATAGAATCTTTATAAGTTTGTTTAACTCTGTTTTATAAAAGTTTTCCTGATTGCTATGAAGTCCCTTGTTATGCTGAATATTTTTAGCTTGTTAATAATATTCTTGAAGAAAATAAAGTAATTACAGCATAATTAGTTTATGTCATTAAACTTGTCTCTGTATAAACAACATTGCTCAATTGTGTACTGCGGAGTAAGTATAATTACACAAGTTTAACAAAAGGAAAACGTTTGAAGGAGGAGGTGAGAGTATATGGAACGAACAATGCCAAAATACTTTTTTTATTTAACGACTAACTAAAATATTTCTTCAACTAAATTTGTTAAAAATTTTGAAAATTAACGATTCTTTAAATTCTAAAATGAAAGTTTGAAAGGTCTCACAAATGAAAAATAAACAAAATAAAAAAACAATATTTTCCTTCTCAGGTTTACTGGAAATTACAAAATATATATGAAGGAGATCTAAATTAATTAATGAAATAATGTTTACATTAATAATGTTGAGGTCTAGTTACTTTGTGTGTGTACTGTGTAATAAATAATTTGAGTTTTCCATGCTCATAATATTTTGTATAAAATAATTTTATTTCTAAATTAATATTTCCAAACATTTTATTTAAAGTTTCTCCAACATTTATCTTCTGCGGAACAAACCAATTACAAGCGAAGAACAGGATCTACAACAAAAAGAAATTAGATTTAGATTTATTGAAAATAAGGGGGGGGGAACTTGAAATAATAGTCAACATATTCCTTTATAAGCTTTTAAATTTGCATACATCTTTTCAAGAATAAATTCCAGAGAATAATTAATCTTTCTCAAATAAAATATCAGAGAGAAATTCCAATGGTGAAGTTGTGAGGGGGTGTGGGAAGACCTACAGGTTGATTGATGTATATAGGTATAGGGGACCCCTTGATCAGTGTTAAGGAGGGTGTGTGGGGTAAACACCTACAGGTTGATTGATGTATAGGTATAGGGGACCCCTTGATTGGTGTTCAGGAGGGGGTCCGGGGATAAATTTACTGTTTATGTACCGTAATATAAATGTACTGGTATTTCAAGGTTTACTTGATCACACTGAAACTCCTGTATCCGGGACAGCAGTGACAGCTTTAACAGCTGATGTACAGGATACAGCTGCAGAGCAACAAAAAAATTCGTAAGTCATAATCTTGTCAGCTCCTGATCTTGTAAATTCTTTATCTTGTTAGCTCCTGATCTTGTCAGTTTCTCATCTTGTCAGCTCTAGATCATGTCAGCCCCTGATTTGTCAGCTCCTGATCTTGTCAGCTTCTGATATTGTCAGCTCCTGATATCGTCAGCTTCTGAACTTGTCAGCTCCTGATCTTTTCAGCTTCTGCTCTTGTCAGCTTCTGATCTTGTCAGCTCCTGATCTAGTCAGCTCCAGATCTAGTCAGCTCCTAATCTTATCAGCTCCTGATCTTGTCAGCTCCTGATCTTGTTAACTCCTGATCTTGTCAGCTCCTTATCTTGTCAGCTCCTGATCTTTTCAGCTCCTGATCTTGTCAGCTCCTGATCTAGTCAGCTCCTGATCTTGTCAGCTCCTGATATTGTCAGCTCCTGATCTTGTCAGCTCCTGATCTTGTCAGCTCCTGATCTTGTCAGCTCCTGATCTTGTCAGCTCCTAATCTTGTCAGCTCCGGATCTTGTCAGCTTCTGTCATGTCAGCTTCTGATCATGTCTGCTTCTGATCATATCAGCTTCTGATCATAAGTTCAATCCTGATCTTGTCAGCTTCTTAACTTGTCAGCCTCTGATCTCGTCAGCACCTGATCTTTTTAAATCCTGATCTTGTCAGCTTCTGATCTTGTCAGCTCCTGATCTTGTCAGCTTCTGATCATGTCAGCTTCTGATCATGTCTGCTTCTGATTATATCAGCATCTGATCATAAGTTCACTCCTGATCTAGTCAGCTTCTTATCTTGTAAGCCCCTGATCTTGTCAGCTCTTGATCTTGTCAGCTTCTGATCATATTAGCTTCTGATCTTGTCAGCTCCTGATCTTGTCCGCCCCTAATCGTCTCCGTTTCTGATCTTGTTAAATCTTGTCAATTTTTTTCTTGTTTTTCATATTTTTCATTTTTTGTAACCTGTAGGAAACTATATTTCTTTTCAATTTTAAACTTTTCATTAAAAGAAAATTAAATATTGTTTTGTTCAAACAACATTATTTGAGAATAGATAGAAAAGTAAAAAAAAAATTCAATTACAAGAACAAATAGAGAGACAGGTGCGTGTTCTGTAAGAAACCACAACAATATAAAAACCACATAATAAACAAGAATCAAGTGTACCTCGAAATAATAAAAAGAAAAGCTTAAATATATATTTATAATGAATTTAATATAAGACAAAATGGAAACTTTATTTAAAACTAATAAGTTAGTTGCAATTTCTCCAAATCCATAATCATCTCCATTATCCATAATACCTACCTAACTACCAACTTACCTACTCAGCTACCTACCTAACTTATTTTCTACCTAGCTTCCTACCTATTTACCTAGCTACCTAGCTACCTACTTACCTACTTATCAACCTACTTACCTTACTATCTACCTACTTATCTACCTATTTACCTACCTTTCTAGCTGTCTACTTACCCACTTACTGCTTACCACTATCTACCTACTTACCACTATGTACCTACTTACCAACTATTTACCAACATACCTGGCTTCCTACCTAATTACCTACCTACCTACCTACCTACGTACCTACCTCCCTACTTGTCTTCCTACCTTCCTATCTACCAACCGATTAACCTACCTATATACATACCTTCCTACCTCTTACCTACTTAACTACCTAACTATACGCGTATATACCTTCCTACCTATATCTTACCTACTTACATACCTACCCTATATACCTGTACTTGCCTACCTGCATACATACACACCCACCTACCTACCTACCTAACAGTATGTTCTATTGCAGGTCCCTACCTAAGATCTCTATTGGGGAAGATGAAGGTGTTCATCAGAATCCACAGGAACAAACACACATTACTTATTCACACACACACACAACACACAACACGCACATAGTCTACATCATAAATAAACACACATTATTTATCCACACACAGCCCTATTACTTATCTACACACGCACAAAAACACACACACACACAAAACAAACATTCACATAGTCTACATCGTTCACAACCATCACACAGACTGATTAACAAGGTACACACTACACTGTACAAGGCAGTAAGTACAGGGAAGCTAATTTTTGTACTGGATACTGGTTTCTCTGTCAAATTATTAAATGGCAGTTTAATGTTTAATAAATTAATATAATGGTCTGAATGTTTTTTCCCAATAAATTTCCAACGATCGCAAATTTTTTTCATAATTTCATTGTTTTTTTTTACAAATTGGGTATTTTTTATTTTAATATTTCTTACAAATTACAATTTTTAAGCAACTAGTAATTAAATGTTTAAAATGAAGATAGTCATTATTTCCAATATTCTTCTTTTCTGTCTACCCTTGTTCACTCTATTTAACTGTGTTGTCTGTATTATCTGCATACCCCCCCCCCCCCCCCCCCCATGAAAGGTTAATTAGCAATTCCAAACATAGTTGATAGAGCAATTTGTATTTCTTTATTTTTGCTGAATTTGTGTAGCACGCTCCTCCACAGGATTATACAAGCTCATAATTTCAATGTGAAACACGAAATTGAATGTTTTTATGATGTGTTTGATGATTAGTACACTGGACAGCATCACTTCCATCCTGTAGCTCATGATCATCATTCATGCGAACGGGTTATAGTCAACGTAAGTTTTTTTATATATATTTGAAGCAGCTTACTTTTTTGATCCTCTTTTAATATTGTTCCATGTTTGGATATTGATCCTTTTTTATTTTTTCCCCCGAATAATACAGTTCAACAATGTAAAGGATTATTATATACTTTCAGTTAGGTTTTTCCATTTCTAATTGATTTAAATCTACTAATAAATTAATAAATTGATATAATTTCAATGTTTATCAAATTTTACATAGGTCTAAATCTTGCTCTAATTGATCTAATGATCTAATTCTAACGTTGATCTAATCTTAATTGTAGTCAAATTTTGATTATATTATTGGGCAAATTCTACCGTTAATAAAATTCTGAAATAGATTTATTTAAACTTTTCCGGCCCCATGTTTAATGGTTATATCCAACTATAATGTTAATACAATCTTTATACTTATCCAAGTCTGCTGCTGATCCAATTCTAATTCTGAACCAATTCTAACCAACTTTTATATTCAAAATAACGTTTATATAAGAATTTATGTTGCACCAAGAGAGTTATACTTGGACTATCCTAACACAGTTTACTATTTAGCCGCATACCTGACTGAACCAAGGTTTATCTAGTTCTTGTTAGAAGATTAGCATGTTTAAAAAATGTCTTCGGGTCCTAGCGCGCTTTTAATAGGACGTTATCCTTTTAAACTCTTAATTTTCACATAAAGGAACTCAGTTTTTGCCACAAACTCAAATTTCCTGATCCTTATATCTATATAATGCGGTAAACCTTTCATATTTTAAACTTAGATTATTTAATCCAACAGAACTCATAGTTTGAAATAACAAAGTTCTACAATTTCAGAGTTTGTGACAAAAATTAAATTTCTTTGCAAAATTATGCATTGTACGAAGTTTATAATATGAGTACTACAGGAAAATTTGAACTTAAATAATAAGTCTACATCGAGTGAGGGTTTTGATCGCGCATTTGAAATAATTGGGATTTGGAATACCTTTGGAATTTGAATGGAAAGGAATTGAGTCTTGCCTGGGGAGTAATATAGGCTAAAATAAATCAACTTTTTTTTTCAAAAATCAAAATTTTATTTTAGTTTGCTTCTATCAAATCTTAATTCAGTGCACTAATAAATTTAAAGATCACAGCTCTGCATAAAGTAAAGTTTAAATGTACGATGTACAGTGTACACATTTTGTACATATATTAGAGAAAATATTCAACAACTTGTAAGATTTACATAAAACGACCATTATCTGTTATTACAAAATACTTTATGTAAATTGATAAACTTAGAAATATATTCGTGTATATTTTAAATATTTAAGGGTTAGTTCATATAGAAATAATATTATTCATGAAAATAATGTTTTTTCAAATAAAATATGCAATGTATTATCTAGAAATGAAGGGGGAGAAATATATGAGGGATGGGGGAAGGAAAAGAGGACTTCAACTTTTCATATTTTTATAATTTTAAGATAATTTATTTTTGGTGTATCAAGTTTATAAAAGGTGTTTAATGAAAATACTTTATAGAAGGACAGTTAAACGGGAGTAAGTGCTTTGAGAGTGGAGGAATGATCATCAGAAAAATACATACAACATCATGATCTTGACTGTCCTTTCTGACAACATAATGATCGCCGAGACCTTGACTGTCCTTTCTGACAACATCATGATCGCCGAGACCTTGACTGTCCTTTCTGACAACATCTTTGATCGCCGAGAATTTGGCTGTCCTTTCTGACAACATATTTGATCGCTGAGAACTTGACTGTCCTTACTAACAACATATTTGATCGCCGAGAACTTGACTGTCCTTACTGTCAACATATTTGATTGCTAATAACTTGAATTTCCTTTCTGATACCATCTTTGATCGCCGAGAACTTGACTGTCCTTTCTGATAACTTAGTTGATCGCCGAGAACTTGACTGTCCTTACTAACAACATATTTGATCGCTGAGAACTTGACTGTCCTTTCTGATAACTTAGTTGATCGTCGAGAACTTGACTGTCCTTTCTGATAACTTAGTTGATCGCCGAGAACTTGACTGTCCTTACTAACAACATATTTGATCGCTGAGAACTTGACTGTCCTTTCTGATAACTTAGTTGATCGTCGAGAACTTGACTGTCCTTACTAACAACATATTTGATCGCCGAGAACTTGACTGTCCTTTCTTACAACATATTTGATCGCTGAGAACTTGACTGTATAGATCGTCGGAAAACATAATTGACCGTTGACAACAAGATTAATAAATTATTACCTCTGACAACCTGGTTGTCACGGTTGACAACATTATTGATAGCTGACAACAATTTATTTCCTCGTCTGCGTGTTTGGTAAAATATTTTGAATCTGTCAAGAGCTGCTCGTTAGGCAGTTTTAATTTAATAAGTGTAGAAATCTAACATCACATGAAACGTAAATAAATAATTTCAACTCTTAACCCAAGGTTTGGAAAATTAGTCCTAAAGAATCTTAAAAATGACATGGAATATTTAACACTAAAAGTTTATTATTAAATCTGAAAGTCCTTGCAAGATGATTTTTAAACTTATGAAATAGTTTTCAACGCATTTTTTATTAAAAAAAATAGTTAAAGTAATCCAAAGTGAGCAAGGCTGCAAGCTCATCACGCAAATCCAAAGTGAACAAGGCTGTAAGCTCATCACGCAAAAATAAAAAATGTTGCCTTATTAACTAATGCTAAAATCATAAATTTTACCTTTCTAAAATTTACATGTTTCGGGGTACAAATAAATTTAATAAGGTGAAACCTCAAAGATGAAGTTTTCTTGAATATTGAATTTTTATGGCTGTCTGGAATCCGTCGGAGTACATAACAAAAATAACTCGTTTATTGTAATAAAACAGCTTGCTAATTTGTTTAGTCATGTTACAAACCTAAAGTTATCGAAATTTAGGTTTCCTTAAAAAAGTTTGCACTTCAAAAATTAGCATAAAAATGGCATCGAAATGCCTTAAAAGAAAGTGACTATTGATATTTTATATTTGATACAGCTTGCAAACAAAGTATTTAAAGGTTTAAAAGTTTAAAGGTTTAAAGTTTTAAAGGCTTAAAGGTTTAAAGGATTCAAGGTTTAAAGGATTAAATGTTTAAAGGTTTAAAGGATTTAAGGATTTAAGGTTTAAAGGTTTGAATACTTAAAGGGTACCGTTGTAAATCGGGTATGTCCCTCTTTATATTTAAGGTCACTTGAAATTACCAAGAGCACGACTTTTGTGTGGTTTCTTATTCATCAATGTTACCAGCTCGTCTATAGTGATGTCCAAAAGTGAATAACTTAATATATAGAAATAACATAGCATAACAAATGTAGAAAACACTATTTCCTGAAGTGAGTAAAAATTTAAAAGTTCCAACCTTTGAACAATTTTCTAATATTTGAGGCAATTCTTCTGATCAGAAGTTTATTTTTCTAGTGTTCAAGGCTGAAAAAGAAATAATTCAAAATGCAATTTTAAGAGATTTTTTTCAGAAGCAATTTTTATTAAACCACTTTATAAGGGACTGACCGACGTTCCCGGCGTTGCCCGTAAAAGTTTAAAAACACTCGAATAAAAGTTTTAAAAACCGTTTTATTTTTAAATCGATTTTTTTATCCTAGGGTACCCATGGGCTTCCTCAAAAAATTTCAAATTTTATAGAAAAAAATCGAAATTTGTTATCCTTTGTTACCCATGGGTTCCCTCAAAAAGTTTCACTCAATTTGGTCCAATCGTTTGGCCGGCTAGCTATAGCTAACATATTTACAAATATATATTTAAAAGCGAAGAGCTTTATTATATAGATTTAACATTTTTGATAGGCCTAACAAATTTTCTCCTTACCTTAGTAACCAAAGATGAGAAATTAAAGATTAAAGATTGCACGGATTAATCATTAATTTATTGATTCACTTAATTCCATTCTTTGCCATTGGACAAATATACTTACAACTAAAAGAGATTATTTTTTAAACGTAACTTTCACTGGCAGTTAAAGGGACTGTAGACGTGTTTTCAAGTGACCCATCAACTAATGAGTTGCGTCCGATTCACATAGATATCCTTTAAACCTTCGCCTCACCAAAATATTTTAATTGCTGGTTCTCAATATAAGTGACTTCATACAGTAAATGTAAAAGAGAAAATTAACTGAATTCAACAATTTATAGGAAAGAAAAAAAGATAAAAATGTTAATGGCTGGCACTGTTGTAAATCCGATGGAATTTAACGTTTGAAATTGGGGATTACTTCAGTTCAAAGGTTAAGAGAACAATTTTTCCTTGTATTTTTTATAATGATGGATTTGATAAAAAGTACGAAAACATATATATATATATATGTTCACTTTTCTATCTAGAAAAAATAGAAATTCTTCTATAATGTAGAAATCAAAGAGTTGCTTCCGGAAAATTAATGTGACCTATTTAGGATTCAGGGGTAAATCTAGTACTCTGATTTTAAATTAAGTCAACAACCCCATGAAATCTTAAGAATATTTGAAGAAATCATCTCGTCTTAACGATTAATGCACTGTCACTCCCCACTAAACCCTACCTTTCCTTTGGTCAGTGTTAAGCACTGAAAGTTTAGTTGAGGGTGCTTTTCATCTTCTCATCTGAATTAAATTTGCCGTGTGAAAGATAGTTTTATTGTAATTTTTATATTTTGAAAATAACACTCTTTTGAAAATTGATTATAAGTCGCTTAGTTTTATGTTTATAACGTATAAAATGTAATTTTAAGTGGATATGCCTGCTATTTATATCCTTTTCTTTAGTTTTACCAATTCGACGCAACCATTTACTCTTTCCGTCCTCAAACCAAACAGACAAATAGAATAAATATTTTTAGGTGAGTGGACTTCGATATGAAACCCAGATACGCACATTAAACCAATTCCCAGATACCTTACTAGGCGATCCTTCCAGACGAATCAGGTAGGGATTCAGGGATTCAGGGATTCAGGGTTTTGAGGATTCTTATAGATTTAGAAAATTTATTTTAGAAATTTAGGGATAATTTTTAGATTACGACATTTTCTAAAGATATAAGAATCATTATCAAGAATTAGGATAATATTAAAAAGTTTAATTTTTCTTTTGCATTTTTCAAAACCAAATATTATATAAATTTTAGTTATATCAATAATGAATAAAATTTGGTTAATAGAAAATAAATAATGAGTTTACTCAAGATGTATTTGATAAAGATGCATTTTATATAGATGTATTTAATAAAGGTGTATTTTATATAGATGTATTTAATAAAGATGTATTCTATAAAGATGTATTTTATAAAGATGTATTTTAAAAAGATGTATTTTATAAAGATGTATTTAATATAGATGTATTTAACAAAGATGTATTTAATAAAGATGTATTTGATAAAGATGTACTTTATAAAGATCTATTTTATATAGATGTATTTAATATAGATGTATTTAATAAAGATGTATTTTAAAAAGATGTATTTTATAAATATGTATTTAATATAGATGTATTTAATAAAGATTTATTTGATAAAGATGTATTTAGTAAAAATGTATTTAATGAGGATGCATTTAATGAAAATGTATTTGATGAAAATGTATTTAATGAAAATGTATTTAATGAAAATGTATTTAATGAAAATGTATTTAATGAAGATATATTTAATGAAAATGTATTTAATGAAGATGTATTAAATGAAGATATATTTAATAAAAATGTATTTAGTAAAAATGTATTAATGAAAATGTTTTTAGATATTATGATCCTGTGCACGATGAATATTTCTTTGATCGGCATCGGAATTGTTTCGAGGCAATCATATATTATTATCAGAGTGGTGGCAGGTTAAGAAGGTAATTTATACAAATTTTAAATTTTTACTTGAGTTTAATCGTTTTCAGCATTCATGCTCATTCATACAGTGGGACCCATAATACTGTGGAATAGAAGGACAAGTGTTAAACTTAAGTTAATATTATTTTTTACCAATTAACATGAATTACTGCGATTGCGCATTTTTGTTTTTTTTATTATTTCATTAATTTTTCATTAACTTATAACTTTATTCTTTATTATCTTAAATTCATATTGCAATAATAGTTAAATCTTTTTTCAATCCATTTTCCATTTGTTTGCCTTTTTTGTAACTTTCTATTACACATTACTAATCAATCTATTAATTCATCGTTATTCCTTCCATTTGTAATCCATTAAATAATTTTTAATGCTTCCATTCTGAATCCAAAATGGATCTATTATCTAATCATTAATTAATCATTTAGCAAATCAATCTTTCTTTGAGATATTTCTTGTTAAATATCTTTCTATAAATATAAATTTTTGTATCCCTATAACCCCCCCCCCCCCTCTATATGTTATTTATTATTTCCAGAAAAATAGTCTAAAGGAAGAATTAAAAAAAACGCCAAAATTGCTTTTTACAATTGATTCTTGTTACTGTATGGTTAAATATGATCAATCTGCAGACGGAGAAAATTTATGCAGTTTTTACTTGATTTAGCATGGAAAGAATGAAAAGATGAACGCTCATTGATAAACATTTATTAGATGACTCCGTTCAATAAGATTTGGTTTTCTAAATCAAATTTATGCATGAATTGGTGAATGCCTGAGTGCAGAAAACGATTGAAAACTTGATTTTAATTCATCACAAATCAGAGAACTGAAAGACAGAAAAGAAAATTTTGTTTTATCTTTAGTTTTGTCTGATTTGTCTCGTGTAAACTTACATCAATATTAAAGTGAACATTTTTATCCTCGACAAAATTAAAAAAATTGCATGTTGAAACTCATACATAAAGGGAATTTTCTTTAGCAGATCTTTCAGCCAAATTTGAATTTAACTATGAAATGAACTTTGCCGATTTTTTTCGGAAGTTTTATAATATAATATTGTATTTTAAGCCTCCCCCCTCCCCCTCCATATTGAGACTCTGAAGTCTAGATACATCTCTGTATACGTACACTACAGAGCCCTAAACTTAAGACAGAGTATCGTCATGAAACCCGGTGTCGGAACCTAGGTTTCATGAATGGGGTAAGATAATTTTTAGATATCAATTTTATGGTCGGACGTATTATTTAATATGGTAGGTTTTGATTCATATTATCATTTTCTGGACTTTACATTGATATCTAAGGAAATCTGTAGACCCCAAAAGGGAAACTCGGGAGTTTCATTCATAGATACTCTTTAAAGGAATTGAGTTTTTGCCACAAACTCAAATCTTCTAATCCCAATATCTTTGCAGCCTGATGGTGCAAAGCTTTGATATTTCAAACTTTGATTATCTTATCTATAAGTATTAATAGTTTGAAATATCTAAGGTCTTCGACATTGGGTTACAAAGATATAGAGATTAGAAAATCAGAGTTTGTGGCAAAAATTCAATTCCTTTCCGGCTCAGCAAAGAATATACTATGGCTCTTAACTTTGTTTACAAAAAATGTTTACCGCAGGGTCTGGGAGGAATATAAACAAAACAGTATTACTGAGTTTCTTTAGATTCCACCCGAGTAATTGCAGTACACCATGTACCTTGTAAACAAAAAACTGTGATTTCCTGGTACATCAATATATTTTTCTACCAGTAAAAATATTAAAATTCGCCATAAAAATACAAAGCCGCCATGAAAGGGAATTATGTTTTGTACGTTTACAGGCTAAACCATTATTCATATTTATTCCTCACTTCAGTCAATAATGGGACTGTTGACGTAGTTTCAAGGGACTCTCAGATCTAATTATAGTCAATAATGGGACTGTTGACGTAGTTTCAAGGGACTCTCAGATCTAATTATAGTCTATAAAGGGACTGTTGACGTAGTTTCAAGGGACTCTCAGATCTAATTATAGTCAATAATGGGACTGCTGACCTAGTTTCAAGGGACTCCCTAATTAAAGATTGGCATGTACAATTCACAACGCATCCTGAAAATCTTTGCTATCAAGAGTAAGAGAAAGAACATGTTTTCTTCCACATTATTGGTCAGATAAAGGTTTACGGGGAACGCTGTGAATCTAGCATGTCTTACTTAACTCTCAAACTCAGTAATTATACATTGTGGAAACGTTTAATAAGTCTCAAATGAATCCTAAAAAATTTGTTCACAATGCTGCATACTCAGTTCAGCCATCAAACATTGCCGGTCACTACCTTTAAATGGCATCAGTTAACATTACAACGACAGTCTTTTTAATTTATATCTATCCATAAAACATATGTTCTATTTCAGACCGGTGAATGTACCTCTAGATATTTTCTCTGAAGAAATTCAGTTTTATGAATTGGGAGAATCAGCTATTAAAAAATTCAGGTAAAAATCTACCACCAGGTTCTGACAATATTCCAGAAAGCTGTGACTTTCGAGAACAATTTGACCCATTAAACATGATTTTTTAGCCTTTTTTCTTAAATACTTTTTTGTCGGCATATACATTTTGAATGAAAAAGTGTAGAATGTCAAAAGATTGTTGAATAATAGACCAACACACGTTTGATGCAAAAAGAAGAAACCGAATTCTGCTCACTCTGGTTAGTCCTGACTCCTGGGTATACCGTTCTCAATAAACCCTGTGTCAAGGACTAATTCTTATTCCATCCATCTTTCATAATAACTGAATAAACGTGCTTAATGCTCAGAAGTCAGAACTTAGGATCAAGGATTGATCTTCATCTTACAGATTAATTTAATTTCTCTTCGATATCCGCCGGTGGTCTAAACCATGATGCAAGGTTAACTAAAATAGAGAGATCAAGCATTGATCTTTACGTTTAAAATGTGACAACATTGCATTTAAAGACCAAGCGCTCAAGATTAATGATACTTCATGACGACATTTCAACAATACTGAAGTGCCTTTGATGTTGTTCTAAAGGAAATAGCTTTACTAGTAAGTTATTAAAATTGCGTATTAAGTGAAAAGAGTCTGTTTACACTGCACAAATGCTGTGTCTCATTGGACATTTAAAAAGTCTAAACTTGAGTTTAAAAGTCGACTTTCTATTCCAGAGTTTTCTGGTTATCACTGTATCCTACATAAATGTAGCTATTTACTAATGTTATGTAAAAAAACGAATAAAAAATTCGCCAGATGGAAAGTAAAAAATTCAACAGATGGAAAGTAAAAAATTCAACAGATGGAAAGTAAAAATTCGCCAGATGGAAAGTAAAATATGGAAAAACAAGTTGCACTTTTAACATTTAAAGACAGATAAACAGAAACACATACATCACATTAAATGTGCAAGAGAACTATAGAACTTGAACATGTGATTTTCATGAATATTTTGAGCACTACTATGAACTATTTAAACTACAGGGTTTACCACAAAGAATGAGACTGTAAAGACGACCTGAAACTCTGAAAATATGACGATTCTAAAATATGATCGGACATAAAAACAGAACAGACAAACAAAGATAACTATTTTATATAAATATGTATATATGAAAATGAAATTATGAAGTTGAAAATATATACATATATATATATATATGTATATATATATATATATATATATACATATATTCATTTGTGTTCTAGAGAGGATGAAGGCTTTATTAAAGATGAAGAAAAACCACTTCCAACCAATGATCTTCAGAGAAAAGTTAGTATCTTTCATAAAAATCTTCTTAAAATTCAATATATGCATTTCATATACTTTAATACTCAAAACCTTTCCTGGGTTTTTTTAGTCGTCTTAAAAAATGGTGGCCCAATTGGTTCAGCCGTTTTGACATCTATTGAATACAAACAAACAAACATATATAATAAGTATATATATATATTAACATAGTGCACTCTAAAGCAATCTTAAATGTTTTCTATAAAGAATGTTGACTGTTATATCTGTTAACTGTGTCCGGTATAAGACTATAGCACTGCAGGGTTCTGATAAGAAAGGTTTAGTATGTGTGTCAGGTCTTCAGCTTTCTACATTCAACCCCAGCACTGCTTTTCGCGGATTTGCAAAATCATAAAAAACCGTATAAACTGACCAAAGCACACCACACACTCACCCCTTCTACAAAACACACTCACATACAAATTCTACAATCTTATCACACAAACACACCCTTTACATAAACGCATCAAACACAATCGATGTGTTTGATATAACTGGAAGAAAATGCTCGTATTAATCCATCGGGGGATATTCAAATGCGGATATTTCATAGAACAAAGAGTATATATTATTATTTATTGATCAAAGAAACTTATCTTGGCCAGCAGCGTTAACGGGTGGGCTATTGTATACGCATTGCATCTGCAGTTATTGTATGGATAAAAATGATACCTCATGCTATATCCAATATCCATGGCAACAAGACTACTACTTTTGAGCAGACTTTTTTTTTAAATAAAGGTATCTCTTCGGACGAGATGAATGTATAAAGATTGTATTATATTTTTCAGCATAGATATCATATATATCTTTCTCACATCGTAGGGGCTGTCAACCCTTCTTCATAAACGTTTTAAGAGATACTTTTTATATCAATCTTCTTCCTTTCATATCTTTTTAAAACTACGAAAACTCATGTTCTTTGTAAAGGGACCGACCGCTACGCCAAAATAATGCTTATTTAAAAATGCATCCTGATAAAAACCTTTAAATCTTTATCTATGAATGAGACATGTTCCTTTTTGTGTATGAAAAAAAATCGAAAATTGCTGATTTGCTCTTTGTCATTGTTTTTTTTTACAGAAACATAGGACAGAAATAAATATAAAGTCAATCCATTCATAATTTAATCACAGTTTATACTAAAACCCCTATCATTTTTTGCGAACAGTTTCTTTATGTCAATTCTTTCTCTTTCTCCTTATCTAACTTTCTGTCAGTCAAGGCCTTGTTGCTCTAAAGTTAGTTTTAACAAAAGGCGGAAATGAAATCTTTTAACTTGGGCGGAAAATTAGAAATTTTGTTTGAATAATTCCAAACTTGTAAAAATATGCAGAAAGGCGTAAAACAATCGGAACAGGGGGATAAAAAGATCATTTCAAATAGGATAAAAGTTTCAGAAATAAATGTTCTTTATTGCGAATACATTTTCGGATAAAATACATGAACCATGCCAATAGATGTAAAGATATTAGTGTTGATGAAACCAACTTTTATTTAGATTTTATATTAATACCATTTTTTTCAAGATTTAAATAATATACCCTCTAGGATGTTTTAATTTCCGGGTAGAAAACATAATATTACACGAGTAAGATATTATTTTTCTTAATTATCCCTTGGGACTGGATGATTTAACATCCATAAATTCTGACGAATTTTCGAATGAGTTTGGTATTTTCCTAATGGTATTTTCCCAAGGGCGACTTCCCAAATGACAATTTCCTAATGGTATTTTCCCAAGGACGACTTCCCAAATGACAATTTCCTTAGTGGCAACTTCCAAAATGTGCAATTTCCCAAGCGGTAACTTCCCAAAGGTTAGGATAGGCAATGAGGGCCTAGAGCGCTGCGGCTTGGATAGGATAGGGGGCCAAGAGGTGTAGCTAGGATGGGATAGGGGGCCAATCATGTTAAGAGCCGAGCGCTTTCCGAACTATTATTGAATTATTATTCTTCACATGTTTGTAGCAATAAAAATACATACTGTCAAATAATTGCATTCAATGTGTTTTCTTCCAGATCCTGCTTCTATTGTTTTGTTGCAATTATTTTTGCTAAAGTTTAGGTTAAGGGTATGAAGTGAAAATACTAAAGTTGATCAATAATACTGCAATAACAACTTGTTAGGATTTATTGAGAATTGCTTTACATTTTCCTGGTAAACTCAGTATAAAAGTATTAGAAGTATTTAACACAGTTTCGTCTTATTTTCCTTTTTAAAGGGACCGTTCTCTTCAATAAAATTTAAATCTAACACTCCAGTCAGAAAAAAAGGGATTTTTTGCCAATTAAATATTTGTGAACCAAGGGAACAGTATTTAATGTAAATGAATGTGAATTTCAATGACAGTGTTCACCGTTTGAAATTCATTTATGCGTAATATAGTGAACTACCGAAAATTTTAGAAATTATAAACATTTTGTTCGAAATCATGAACAGAATTTTATGGATGTCTCTCAAATTTTTAATATTTATCAAATTCTGTTCGTTATTTGTAAGAAAATGTTCGACATTTTGGAACGATTTCGATAATTTCTATATTACTAACAAACTGTTAGGGTTTCTAATGATGCTCCAAATTTTTAAACCAATTATGGTTCAAAGCATGCCAACCTATTTTTACAAGTTAAATGTAGCTTTTGCGGGACCCAAAAAAGCGCCAAAACGACTGAACCAATTCGGCCTACGTTTATTGTTCTGGTTCCGGGTGCTGTTTCTTTTTATTAATTAGGCTTGTCTTGCTACCTCTTTGTTTCTATAAATGTCAAAACGGCTGAACCCATCGTGTCCAAATTATTTGTGGCAACTTTTATGACCCCCATATGATGATTATGATTTTTTCATTTCAAAAACCATGAATATTTTCAAAGAAAACTTTTGAGATTTACAATAATGAAGAAAAACGGCGGCTTGATATGCAACATTTTAACGCTTAACCTGTGCAGCTAGAAAATACTTTGATCCTCTTTGTCGAAAAATTTATGAAAATGTCTGGAGATAAGGAAACTATAAAAATGTAAAGAATAAGGGGCGCGAAGCACCAAACTAAATGATATCTATATTGTGTTTGTTTTCTTGTAATTTTAAGTGAATATCCATGGTCTACATGGTCTCCATGGTTTCCATGGTCTCCATGGTTTCCATGGTCTCCATGGTTTCCATGGTCTCCATGGTCTCCATGGTCTCCATGGTTTCCATGGTCTCCATGGTTTCCATGGTCTCCATGGTTTCCATGGTCTCCATGGTCTTCATGGTCTCCATGGTCTCCATGGTCTCTATGGTCTCCATGGTCTCCATGGTTTCCATGGTCTCTATGGTCTCCATGGTCTCCATGGTCTCCATGGTCTCTATGGTCTCCATGATCTCCATGGTCTCCATGGTCTCCATGGCCTCCATGGTATCCATGGTCTCCATGGTCTCCAGGCAAAGATGGCAATGTCCGATTAACAACGGTACTCTTGAAACCTATCTCTGGATATTTTAAAGATATTGCCGTTTTTCTAGGTTTTAAAAGGTTCAGCTCATTTAATTCATACATTTTTTTCTGCAATGGAATGCGCACATTTCTTTTCAAGAGACATCACAATTGAAAATACTCAGTTTTGCAGAATATGAACAGACAAAGCTTATAAACTACATGTATTAGTGGGAATCTGGCATTGCCATCTTTGCATGGATGGTGACTTAAATTACGCTTACAGTCCCTTTAAACCAACGAGGTTATAGTGTATAGAGTGATTATGTACGCTAATCAACGAGGTTATAGTGTATAGAGTGATTATGTACGCTAATCAACGAGGTTATAGTGTATAGAGTGATTATGTACGCTAATCAACGAGGTTATAGTGTATAGAGTGATTATGTACGCTAATCAACGAGGTTATAGTGTATAGAGTGATTANCTAGGATATGGTGTAATAGAGTGATGATGTACGCTAATCCTTTACTAATTTTATAGGCCATAAACTATTTCGAGAGCGTACTGCGTATTCGTTTATTATAAGTTGATTCTGGCCTAACCTATAGTGTATCAATATTAGTAAACAGTTGTACGTGTACAGTACAGCTAACTGAGCACACAGGTAGAGAACTATCATCCCCCCTGGTTTAAACTAATATGTTAAAAAATATTTAGGTTTGGTTACTACTAGAGTATCCTGAATCCTCCCAGCATGCTAGAATAGTAGCAATCATATCTGTATTTGTTATTTTACTGAGGTAACCAATTCATAGTCAATATACACAGGCTTGTACAAAATACTTCTTAAGAATCCGTCCGTTGAAATTTTGTCACAAAAAATTAAATGGTCTAACTAGCAGCGCCTTAAAAACCAGATAAAATTCGTGACTTTTAAAAATTAACAAAATTTGAAGGTTTCTTGGATCTCACTCCTAGAATTTAAAATTTTTTTAAAAAGTTTAACGAATGTAAATCCACACAGCTTAATGCAGGGTATCCCCCCTTTTACTCCTGTTCTTTAAGAATATAAAAGAATTTGAACTATTTGAAGTATCTGTAATATTTATGTAGTATTTGTTTTTAAACAAATATGATAAATTCTAAACCAAATTTTAAACATCAATACATGCACAACAGCAACATTTGTAATATAGCATAAAAGGTGGGATTTTCTAACATTTTTATTTTCTTACTTTCTTACTTTCTTGGTTTCTTAATTTCTTACTTCCTTACTTTCTTGCTTTCTTACTTTCTTACTACTTACTTACTCTCTTACTTTCTTACTTTCTTACTTTCTTACTTTCTTTATTTCTTGAGTTTTCTTACTTTCTTACTTTCTAACTTTCTTACTTTCTTTATTTCTTACTTTCTTACTTTCTTACTTACTTACTTACTTACTTTCTGACTTTTATATTTCCTTACTTTCTTACCTTCTTACATTTTTTAAATTCATCTAAAATTCATCTTTTTTGTATTTCTCTTTTTAAAATTCTCGGATTTGTTCCTTTATATAAACCTGGTGCTGGTATTTGTATTCTCTTGTTGTTTAGGTGCCTGATGTGACTGATCCTTTCTTTATCGTGGAAACCTTGTGCATAATTTGGTTTACATTCGAGCTTCTAGTTCGGTTTCTAGCCTGCCCTAGCAAAATGGAGTTTAGGGATAAACAAACTATTTTCACATTTTCCTGATCAGTTATGCACATTTTTAAAACATTAGTTTTTATTGTGATTTTATTTAATTGGAAATATTTGCTAAATATGAAATTAGAAACCAATTAAATAATCGTCAAATTATCAAATCTAATCATTATTAATTTCCAAAATCATTTTTCAATTTCCATTAATAGTATGAATGAATAAAGTACATAGTTCAGCTACTTTTCACTATTTATAAATTTCGACCTCCGTACATTTAAAAATAATCTATTATCTCTAAATATATTGAAGTATTTTGTTTAGTAAGGATATGATGAACATGATAGATCTAGTCGCTATCATTCCATACTTTATCACCTTAGCAACTATAGTAGCAGAGAAGGTCTAAAAATAATAAAAATAATAATGTTAATTATAATAATAATGATGATAATAATAATAATAATGATAATTATGATAATAATGATAATAATAACAACGATAACAATATTAATAAAAAAATTATAAAAAAATATTAACAATAATAATAATAATAAAATTGTATTGAAGGAGGAGGAGATAGCCCCCAAACCAGCTGTGATGCCCCATCAAAACAATCAGAATCAAGCCATGTCATTAGGCAAATATTCTTCAACTGTACTCCATCTTTTTTTCAAATTTCTACGTCCTTTTAGTAACTCTTTATCATTTTTAACCTTTCTCCTTTAATTTGTTTAAAAACTATGTTCTTTTTCTTTAGCAAATATGTCTCTTTAGCAAATATGTCTCTTTAGCAAATATGTCTCTTTAGCAAATATGTCTCTTTAGCAAATATGTCTCTTCAGCAAATATGTCTCTTTAGCAAATATGTCTCTTTAGCAAATATGTCTCTTTAGCAAATATGTCTCTTTAGCAAATATTCCATTCCCCTCATTTTTAAATTTTTATTATTCTTCTCATGTCACTTTTCTTTTAATAACTTTTCCCATAATACTACTTAATTTCATGATTCTTCCTATCCATCTATTCGTTTTACTATTCTTCCCATTTTTTGTCTCCAATTTTTTATTTTTTTTACTCCCCTCCCATCTTTCCTTAATTATTCTTTTATTTTATTCTCGATATCAGTACCAATTTCTTTTTCTACCCTGCCTCTCCTCTCCCCAAGTCCCACTGATGTTATTCTGTTATCCATAAAGAATAAAATTGTTTAGCTATATTGCGAGTGATTCGACTAGTTCGAGTTTTTAGAATATTCAAACTTTCAAGGAAACTAAAATTTGGAATTTAAAGATGGTTTAGCCATGAAATTTCTTGGGGAAAAAAATTAAACATGTGCGAATACAGCGAGAACCAGAAAACAGTGGAATAGAAAGATGACATTTAAGCAATCTTTTGTGTAAATAATGTTATTATCAAGCAAACAGTTTTACCAATGGCTTGAAAATCAATTTATCAAATTAAAAGTGTCTGTGTACACTGCACAATTGTTGTGTTTTATATTCATTGCACTAAATACAAAATTATAACTTGAGTCTGACAGTCGTCTTCGTATTCCAGAGTTTATAGATATCACTGTATTAGTTCTTCAGCTCATTGACTTCATATAATATATAATACGAGCTTAAGTGTAGACCGCGGCGTTGCCCGTGAAATTTAAAAAAAAATCATTTTGAAAAAAAACTATTTTTACTCACCGGGCACCCTTGGGTTCCCTCAAAATTTGTTTGCCTATTCGGTCCAGCTGTTTGGCCAACTAAAGCTAACATATATATGAGCGGAGAGCTGTATTATATATGAATTAGGTTGATCATGTTTCTTCATTAAAAATTTTTCTTCTATTTATAATATTAGTAGCTAGCAGAAGAGCACGGGGATGCCCGGGGGAAAAAATTTAAGTTTGAAGAAAAAAAATCTATTTTTCTTAGCCTTTGTCACGCCCAGGTTACTGCATGAGTGTTTACAACAAATTTCAGCCCATTCGGTCCAGCTATAGGGAACATATATCGAATGTCTTGTTTTAGTCTATAGATATTTATAAACCAAAGAATACCAAAGAAAACCAACAATTTCATTTCTTTAAATCCAAATTTTGATTTGGTTTTAGGCATTCAAAAGGTCTCCAGATTCTTGCGAGAACACTAAAAGCATCAATGAGAGAACTCGGACTTGTTATGTTTTTTCTTTTTATAGGTTAGTTACAGTCATAATTTCATCTGATAATTATATTACACAAAAGAACTGAGTACTCGTCTCATATTGTAATTTCCAAGTCCATATGTATGATATATATATATTCATGTTCTTCTGTCGAGGATACTCAGCTTTGTCTTTAAATTTTCATTTTTTTCAATTCCCTACTTGGACTGAAAGATAATAATAAAAAAAACGGAATTTCTTCTTTTACATGAATATTTTTAAATTTAAATTATTTAATATTTCTATTTTAGGAGTTGTGTTGTTTTCGAGTACAGTTTACTTTGCAGGAACACAAATGTCAATTACGAATAATAATGACAACACTGATAATAATGATAAAACTAGCCTTGTTCTGAAATTGTTTCAATATTATTTATCCGTCCTATTGTTTCATCTGTCAGAAAAGTTGCACAAAACTTCATAATTAGACTGAATATGAGAAAATTCACTTAGGAAATTAAAAAAGTTTTGTATATTTTTCTCTTTGTTGCATAACATCATTGAACGGTAAATCTGCGGCAACATGCATATTATACAGCGTGAAGTAATTATATATGTCCAGTTTAAATTCTTCAACTATATTGGTAAATTTCAAAAATATCCTTTTTTGTTTGTACAAGGTAAGAAGGAGAATGTTTTTGTGAGAGGAAATTATAGATTTAAAAGGTCCGTGGCAGCGCGCGTAAGAGAAAAATTTGTAAAATTACAAAATTTTAGAATACCAAATATTTTTGAAAAAAATATGCTTTTCTTTTTTCCCAGTTCTTGCCTTGTAAATTTCCGTTTTCACTATCTCTTTTAGGAGCAGCAAAGTTTCTGAATGGTTTGTTCAATTTAGTTGATGAGAAAATAAACTGGAAATTTGAGAAGAACCACAAGTAAAACCTTGGGAGTTTATTTTTAACCAAGGAACAGAAACATTTTGATGAGAATTCAACCAACCTGAAACCACAAAAACAATGAACGTGGCAAATGCGCTAAATTGCGCGGGAAATAGTTGAAAATATAAATAAGATACGCGGCAAATGCGCTTGATCTGACATATGTATAATGTGTAGAGGCGGGATCACCTAAATCTCAATTTAAATCTATACCTGATGGTTTCTGGTGGGCGGTAGTCACCATGACTACAGTGGGATATGGAGATATGACGTGCGTATTACAAATTTAAGGCTGAAGCAGACACACATTTTTTTCTCTGCTTCATCCATATGGCGTTCCTAAAATACTAAGTTTTAAATTTTCAATTTGATTTATGAACGCCATAAATTCCTAACTAATTTTAAACTAAATAACTTCTAATTTAACTAAAAAAACTCTTTTCAAAAAATTTTTGAGATCTGAAAAAAATAACACACTTTATCTAATCTCTTTTTTTAGTTTTAATAGGTATCTTAAAACAATACTATGCTAAAAACTGAGCCCCGGTCAACCCTCATACTTAATTTAAATGCCTTTTAATCCAACATTTAAAAATGTCTAATAGCTTTTATAAAAGATTTTCTTTTAATAAATTTTGTGAAAGAAAAGATGGGATAAAAGTTTTAATCTTATGCACAGATAGATAAGTTGAAAACCGTACATTAACTAGTTGAAAGCACTCTTATACTTAAAGTTAAATTTTTAAATTGAGATTTCTAACATCAAATGATTTTTAAACCTAAAGGGATTGCGTACGTAAATTTCAATGAAGTCAAAACTTTGTAAATGAATTTTGATTTACGATGGTACAAATCTTTTTGGTCCATAAATATAAATAATAATATTTTCCCCCCTAGATATCAGTTTACAGTCATAATAATAATAACTTTCTTTTTTTGTCAACAATTAATTTTTGTCTTTCAATTTAGTTTATTTTACCATTTAAAAATTCAAAGTTTTCATTGAAAAATCGAAGTAACTGCAAGACAAGTTTTTTAGATTTGTTTTATTTTTCTAAAAAAAATACTTTGTAATTATTATTCTAAGAAATAAAAGTAGTTCAGGTACCATTCAAATATTTTTTTCTTCAAAAATCCAAACTGTGCAATCCCTTTAAACATTAATACATTGATAAAAACCCGCCACCTTGTAACTAATATTTCTTTAATGTTTAATGTTTTCTCTGAAAAGTTTATCAACTAAAACTTTTAGTTTTCAGAACAAAGTTATGTTTGTGTCAAAGGGAGTGTTTTGTGAAAAGTAAAAAGGGGTTTATTGGATGAATACGAATCAAACTTTCAAATTGCTTGCCACCATTTTTAATTTTTACTTGAATTCTGATTATTTTTCTTGGGTGTATAATGTTTTTTTGGTATGCAAGCATTTATTAATACAGCTTGTGTTGCCAAACCTTTCACGAATTTTAAACAAAAAAAGACAAATGATTTTCGAAAAAAAATTCCTACAGAGCTTAACATTTTTCTACAAATTTAAACTAAAAATCTTCAAATCATTAAAATTAAATTGAATAAGTTCAGCATTTATTAAAAAAAAATTCAACCTTCAATCAATATTCCTATAAAGAGTTTTTATAAAACGATTAAATGTATATTCATAAAAATTGCCTCAAGTAAATGGTGAAATGGCACCGAACCGACGTAGAGATTTTTATTCGTCTATTAATCTTAAATCCACTTGGAATTTTTACGAACATTCTCCTATAAAATGATTAAAGGTTAGATAAAACCATTTAAACACTTATAATAAGGAATAATTCTTATTTCGATCCTCTTGGGGGTATTTAAAAGATATTGTCCGTAGGAAAAACTTTATTTATTTTTAAAGATCCGTCCAAATAGTTTGTATTTACGATTTTACAAAAAGGTTTAGATGTTAAACTTTTCAAAGCAAAACATTGCCCAGGCGCCTTATGCTTTTCTCGTTTAGGCCTGTGGGTGTATGGGGCAAGATAGTGGGGTCTTTGTGTGCCATTGCCGGGGTTCTGACAATCGCTCTACCAGTTCCCGTCATCGTGTCCAACTTCAACTATTTCTATCACCGTGAAACCGATCAAGAAGAAATGTTATCTCAAAATTTTAATCACGTCCAAAGCTGCCCTTACCTTCCTGGACACTTAGGTGATTCTTAACTTTTTTCAAAAATCAATCCAATATCACAAAAAAGTCAGGTTAACGAAAGTAACCCATTTTTACAACTCATTTGAGGTAATATTGGTGCATGCGAGGATTTGTTTAAAATCCCTGAAATTGTTTTGAATTAAATGATAATGTTTGATGAGGTTGAACAAAATGGCGGAGGGAAGACAACTAATGCCAGTGAAAGGAAATAACCAACAAAAAGTTCAAGTCTGAAACTAATTTATAAAGAAAATAGCAGTTTAGCAGACAGGATTCGCTCTTTTACAAAATTATTCCTGCAATATAATATAACTTATTTCCTTTTTGTTTGCCAGCATAAACCTTCCTCCATTGCTAAAAAGCCAAATAAAATCAGAACCGCGGCATTTCGTCAGACGTAGACCTGACTTTTCTGTTTCCGCGGGAAACCTAGATATCAAGTTGAGCAAGGAAGGGAGGAGTCCATGTTTTAAACCTGTGTTTGTGTGTTTTCAATGTTGTTTGATCCTAGAAGTGATACTTTTGCATGGTAATTATAGGTCGTCAAAACTTTAATATTTTTAACTAATCAAGCATCTGCCCCTTTGGTAAAAGTAAATATAACCTATATGAAGCATAAAGTCTGACTGCGTCAACCTTGTTTCGCCGGCTAGTCCTGTACATAGAGCTAGGTACAGTACAACCTGGAACCGGAAAGGTTGACCCGGCTCGGAAATTCATATGCACTACGGCTGCCCGTGTAATATCTTACAACAGTATTGACCAGTGTTTCTTTAGTTAAACTGCATGTTTTTACTGAAAAAAAAATCTTTTTAATCTAGGTACTAGGTTTCATGCAGTATATTGGTTCACTTCAGTATCTAGGTTTCATTCAGTAACTAGGTTTTATTTAATGTCTAGGTTTCATTCAGTGTCTAGGTTTTATTCAGTATCAATGTTTTATTTAGTGTCTACTGTGTAGGTTCATTTAGTTTCTATATTTTATTTAATATCTGAGTTTCATAGAGTGTCTATATTTTATTTAATATCTGAGTTTCATTGAGTGTCTAGGTTTCATTGAGTGTCTATATTTTATTTAATATCTGAGTTTCATTGAGTTTCTATATTTTATTTAATATATGAGTTTCATTGAGTGTCTATATTTTATTTAGTATCTGAGTTTCATTCAGTGTCTATATTTTATTTAATATCTGAGTTTCATTGAGTTTCTATATTTTATTTAGTATCTGAGTTTCATTCAGTGGCCAGGTTTCATTGAGTTTCATTTAGTGTCTAGGTTTCATTGAGTGTCTATGTTTTGTTTAATATATGGATTTCATTCAGTAGCCAGGTTTCATTCAGTGTCTAGGTTTCATTTATTTTCTGGGTTTGATTGAGTGTCTAGGTTTCATTCAGTGTCTAGGTTTCATTTATTTTCTGGTTTTGATTGAGTGTCTAGGTTTCATTTATTTTCTGGGTTTGATTGAGTGTCTAGGTTTGATTGAGTGTCTAGGTTTCATTTATTTTCTGGGTTTGATTGAGTGTCTAGGTTTGATTGAGTGTCTAGGTTTAATTTATTTTCTGGGTTTGATTGAGTGTCTAGGTTTCATTTATTTCCTGGATTTGATTGAGTGTCTAGGTTTCATTTAACATATGTCTTTAAGTTTCTGGGAGTTTGTTTTTGTATCTAGGTTTCCCTTAGAAACAATTGAAAACAACAAACAACGTTTTTTAAAAGCTGGTGTATTTTCAAATAAATAGTTTTAGAAAAATAAAACAGGAGAATTTTCAGTTTCTGAGGTTTAGTTCATCATCTGATTAAAGATGTCCTTGTGTTTCACCTCAAATACTGTGAACTCTCTCTTAGAACTGCATTGTTGCTGGCAAATACAAATATATAGAACGCGATACCTTAGATTTTAATTAGAAAATTCCTGCAAAATCTTTCTTTGTTTCGCTTTAGATTTTAGTTCCTACAACTAAAGCCAAAAACTATTAATCCAACAGAAAAATAACAAAAACACAGTGAACTCTTTATTTTGTATAATCCTATAGGACGTGGAATCGTACATTTTAATATTGGTTACGTAATAACTCAGTAAAATTTGCGACTCTTCTCTTTAAGGAATTATAGTTAGTTACAGTGCATGCATGTTAAGTTGTTTTGCATGAAAGCAAAATAATTAATTATAAATTTACATTTTATACCAACAAGCTAAAAACATTTTTTCATTTTTGACAAATTAATGCATTCAAATTCAAATTTGTTGCTTTCATTTATATTTTGTTTAAAGTAATATTCATAGATAGATAAATAAACACAGATAGCTTATGTACGCAAAATCACCAAGAATTGTACAGTCCGCGAACTCATACTTCTAGGGGTCAAAGTGTACTTTAATGATAAGCGGAGTGGTTTGGTGTTTTAATGGATTTCATAGAATAGAGTGTAAAATAACTCCGGGAATGGAACTATTTTAACAAAAATATTTCACTGAGCAATATATCATATTGACGAGAACTGAAGAAGGACATGAGAAGGACTAAACTAACTTAAATTTCTCTCTACAGAACTCATGTACTCGTACTCAATAACATCTTTCAAGATGAAAAATGTCGTCTTATGCGCAATCTATCTTTATCTATGGTAATATTCCTCTTAGATATAAATAGAAAAGAGTTTACTATTGGAGTTTCCTTAGCTACATTATTTACACACGTTTTGTAAACATACATTTATACATTCAATACACTTACTAGAAACAAATTATATATTTATTTTTTGCGCTACAAATTCTTTATTTAATTTATTGCTTTTTTGCCTCCGGAAAATCTCTATGTCTATTTATCTTGGATAAGTACTTACTTTGGCCTCTATATCTTGGGTATAAATCTCTGTGGTCTCTATATCTTGGGTATAAATCTCTATGGTCTCTATATCTTGGGTATAAATCTCTATGGTCTCTATATCTTGGGTATAAATCTCTATGGTCTCTATATCTTGAGTATAAATCTCTATGGTCTCTATATCCTGAGTATAAATCTCTATGGTCTCTACATCTTGAGTAATCTGTATATTTTCTATATCCCTTGTGATCTTTATATTTTTTTTTCTCAAAATTAAAATTGTCTCTTATAGTTTCCTCTTATCAATTTCTGTCTTTTACTGTTGTCTTTAGATTATTTCTTTGAGAATTTCTCTGTTTTTTTCTTGGTTTTTCTCTCAATATATTCAGCTGCTGCGAATACAACTTACTTGAAAATTATTTTATCCTGGGAATATAAACCTATTTATTTAAGAATAAAAACTCCGGTTTTTCTTATAATTAAGTTTTAAAGGTTAGATTCCTTTTTAAGAAAAGGAATTAACACTCATCTACAAGACTCATTAACACACATTTTTTGTTTATTTTTATTGATAAATAAGAGGACACAAGTTTTAACCATATTATGTTCCAAACCTAACACTCAGTGTGTCAGGACTGAGATCAATCACGGTTTGGAACTTTCTTCCCCTGAATACCTTTAAGAACTAAAGAATAAAGAATAACAGTTTATAGAATTTAATTCAACAATTTCTGAATAATAAATAAAGAATAAACTGAATATTTTGAGGTTAAATTTTATACTGCTAACAATTAAAGGTGAAAAACTAGTCACCTTAATTTCTCATTACATAAACCTTTGATAAAATAAAGACTTCAATTTTAATTCAGTTTTTACCCCCTTTCAATTTTCTTAAACACTCCCTTTAACAAAGAAAACAGTTTATAAAGAAGTGATTTTCCCTGGTTGTTTGAATCCAGTGTACTGCAGAGTTGTGTTGTTTATCTCAATGTATCCCAAGGTTGTGTTGTTTATCTCAATGTATCCCAAGGTNATGTAAAACTCTTGTCTACAAGAAATACAAATGTAAAACTCTTGTCCACAAGAAATACAAATGTAAAACTCTTGTCTACAAGAAATACTTAAATGTAAACTCTTGTCCACAAGAAATACAAATGTAAAACTCTTGTCTACAAGAAATACTTAAATGTAAACTCTTGTCCACAAGAAACACAAATGTAAAACTCTTGTCCACAAGAAATACAAATGTAAAACTCTTGTCTACAAGAAATACAAATGTAAAACTCTTGTCCACAAGAAATACAAATGTATAACTCTTGTCTACTACCAATACATATATACAATGATATAACTATTGTCTACGATTGGAAAGGTATAACTCTTGTCTATAAAACTCTTTTGTCAAGTAAAGATTCTACACAATTGTTCACAATTCTTTTTCCTTACAAAGTAATGTTAACTGGTATCCATCAATAATAGCTATCAGAGCCGAAATTTAACAGAGTACAGTTTGAGTTTCTTTTCTGGGCTTCTATACTAATATGATTTAAAATTAGAAAAATAAATATATGGTAACTTTATGAAATATTAATATTTTTTAGTAAACATACCTACAAAATTGGCTCGCCCCATATTTGTATTTTTTATCTTCATCCAAATATCTCTGAGAACACAAAGGAATTGAGTCTTTACCACAAAATCAAATTTTCCAACTCCAATACACTTAAAACTTGATGGTGTAAACCTTTTATATTTCAAACGTAGATTATTTGATCTTACAGAATTCAGATTTTTTGAAATATCATAAGGTCCATCACATTTGGTTGCAATTATATAGGGATTAGAAATTCAGAGTTTATGGCAAAAACTCAAGGAACTTACATAAAAGGTTAATTGCTAAAAGAGAGAAAAAAAGACTGAAATCTTGTATAGAACTTAATCATTAAAAACGTAAATAAACTGTACCCTCAAAGCATATATATATATATATAAGATTCATTATGTTCACATTAAAAGTGCAATTCCAGCTCTCCCAACTACATTCTGTAATAAATGTAACAAATGGAAGAATTTCTAAAAGTTATTACTCGCTCTTCTTTATTTTATTACCATTAATATTTATATAAACTTTGTATATCGCAGCTTTAACACAGATATTTTTCTTAATCTTCTAATTCCAAACATTTATCACTAAATATATGTATACTATAGGCTTTCAGGGCGCTTTGAGCCCAACTTATATTTTAATTGTGAACATTTTTATCTTTATTTACATTGTAAAACAACCAAAAAAAAATAAAAAAGGTCGCAGATTAAAAAAAAATTCGTGGATTTTCAAAATTTAAAGAAAATCGAATTTTGTTGGAGGCTAATTTTTGAAATTTTGATCTTTCTAATAAACCTTCCCTGGGGTCAGGTTAATGTAATTTGGGCCAGATCGTTTTGACGCTTTTTGGATAAAAACAAAGGAAATATGTAGATATACAGGGCCGGGCGCCTTGAAAAACAGCAACTAATTCCAGAGCCTTGATTTTTTTTTTTTTTACATTAAACATTAATTTTTATTCTGTCCAGGGGGGAGGTCAGTATTGAACATATAAATACCCCTGTCCGAGGGGGGGGGGGGGGAGATCAGTATTGAACATATAAATACCCCTGTCCGAGGGGGGGGGGATATGGCAGTCAGGCGGTTTATATTGTAGACATTGGTGCTGTGGTAATACTTGAATAATTTATTAATAGATATTTGATTGACTTGTTTCTGCCAAGGTTACATATGGGTGCATAGGTGCATATGGGTGCATATGGGTGCATATGGATTTAATTTAGGCAAAAAGTTTGTTAAACAACTAACAAGTCAGATTTAAGGAAAACTCATTTTTTGTTCTACAGTTATAAGGAGGAAAACAGATCTTTTTTGGGAATCTAGGTTTGGACATTTTCCCCCCCCCTGTACATACACCTTTTATATTTACACCTTTATATAATATTCAGCCATGTATGGAGTAAAGCAAGGGGAATAAATTACAGGGAAACTGGAAAATATCTACAAAGTATTTTCTATTTATAGAAATTGTCGACACTTGTGAAAATATTAATAAAGAAATAATATAAATGTATAACTCTTGTCTATAAATATAAATGAATTAACTCTTTTCCATAACTAAACATGTATGACTCTGGTCTACTAAAACAGTATGAATATATAACAGAAATACAATACAAAAATATATGACTCTTGTCTACAAGAAATACAAATGTAAAACTCTTGTCTACAAGAAATACAAATGTATAGTATTATGTATTGTGAATCTTGTGCGGTCAACTTCGCTACACAGTAGTAATCGTCTTCGTGTTTTCTTAAATTTGTTACAAAGGTGTGTTCATCTGGCTTCTTAAAGCCCCTGAAATGTGCTCTAGAAATCGTAAGGAATTTCATGGGAACGTTTTATCAATAAACTCTGATTTTCTAATCTGTGCAATCCAATGTCGTAGAGTTTTGATATTTTAAACTTTATAGTCTGTATCAGGTTACAAAAATATAGAGATGATAAAATTTGAGTTTGTGGCAAAAACTCAATTCCCTTTTTAGAATTTCTTAACAACTGAACTAAGAAAATTTCTTTGGCAAATAAGCTCTCAATGGCTGAAAGATAAAAAAATTATCTATTGATTTTTCGAATATAATTTTGTAACATATGCACCAGGATGAGCCCGCACGGGGTCAGGGGGGGGGGGTAATGGATATTCCTCTTTAAATGCATTTGTCTTGTATTTCATGGTGAGAATGGACAAAATGAATATATTCTGATAATCTTTGCATGTTCATATGTTCAATTGCAGCTTGCATTGATTTACAATGATTTCAATTTACAATTACTTTTCCCGTTCATAGATTTATCCTTGAATGGATCCTGTAAACCTGCGATATTTTTAGAATTTCGTCTTTGTTAACGTAAACTATTTCGGAACAAACATATACTTTACAGCTTTTTTACACATAATTACAACGGATTCAGGATAATCTAGATATACAAATAGATTTCAACAACCATTATTAAAAGATGCATGGGCGTCGGCACACCGCAAAGGTTTTAGTTTGTTCTCTGATTCGGGTTTAAAATACCCATTTTAAGAGTTTTCAAGGAAATTACCAGTTTCCGTCTGATTTCAGAACTTCAACACAACATTACCATGACTTTTCTAAAAAAATTATTCAAGCGGCCGAGCCTTATTTGACTTGAATGAGAGGTTTATTGTGTAAACTCAATATTGCTGACCCCCCCTGTGGCCCTTTAACCTAAAAAATGTGTGTTTAAAAACACGAGTTTGTTTCAGACGTTAATTTTGTGTCAAATTCAATGGTTTCGTCCTTATCTCTCCTTTCTATTTACAATATTAATATTACAAAAAAAATCTAACAAAGTTTCCAATTCCCTAATTGGACGCTTCCTTAATAAAAGATAATAGGGGACTTACAAGTTTTATACCAAAATAAGTCAAAAAGAGTAAAAAAATGTAATGATAAAATTACAGTTTTTCTGCCGTACGAAACCAAATAAAGTTTTAGAAAAAAAATATTGTTTATATTTTCTATAAATCACTTATAGTTGAACCATACTTCCCATGTTTTCCAGGGATCCCCAGGGATCTGATATAAATAATAAACCACTCCTAAAAGCACTCTTATTCTTCACTATTAACACTTTTATTTTTTCTTCTCGAGCCTCTTATTCTCTCTAACTTTATACTTCACCCATACATATTAATAAGCTGAAGAAAAACAAAACAAATTAGAAATTATCTAGCGACACATAATCTATTGCATGCTTTTCAAATAAGAATTCTGTTTGAACATACTTTAATTTACTTTATTTAATAGATGTTTCCCATTTTCATCTAAATCAGGTAATATTTATCTAGTTTTTAGACTCAATCAGAATATAGGAAAACAAGGTATTATTTTTATCATTATTATTATTATTATTATCATTATTATTATTATTATTATTATTATTATTATTATTATTATCATTATTATTATTATTATTATTTTTATTTTATCATTATCATTATTTTTTAAATTATTTGAATTATTACTATTAAAGGGGAAAGTTTACGGAAGCCTCCGTTAGGTGACAGTTCCTCCGATATAATGAATATGGAGGAGGGTAGTATACTCTTTAAGGATTGTGTAGATATATCTAAGGTGAATTCAACAAAATATTTTATATTTGTCTTTTTTTGTGCCCATTCAGCTGTCAGTCTCCTTCTAATTTTTTTGTGATATCTCCCAGTCCCTTTTAGTCCCTCCTAGTTCCTCCTGGTCCATTCTAGCTCCTCCTAGTTCATTCTAGTTCTATCCAGCCCCTCCTGGTTTGTTCTAGTCCCTTCTTAGCCCTCCCAGTTCATTCCAGTTCCTCGTAGCCCATCCTAGTTCCTGCTATCCCCTCCTAGTCCCTTCAAGTTAATTCTAGTTCCTCCTAGTTCATTCTAGTTCTTCCTGGTTCATGCTGGTTCCTCATGGTTCATTCTAGTTCTTCCTAGTTCATTCTAGTTCCTGCTATCCCTTCCTAGCTCATTCTAGTTCCTCCTAGTTCATTCTAGTTCCTCCTAGTTCATTCTAGTTCCTCCTAGTTCATTCTAGTTCCTCCTAGTTCATTCTAGTTCCTCCTAGTTCATTCTAGTTCCTCCTAGTTCATTCTAGTTCCTCCTAGTTCATTCTAGTTCCTCCTAGTTCATTCTAGTTCCTCCTAGTTCATTCTAGTTCCTCCTAGTTCATTCTAGTTCCTCCTAGTTCATTCTAGTTCCTCCTAGTTCATTCTAGTTCCTCCTAGTTCATTCTAGTTCCTCCTAGTTCATTCTAGTTCCTCCTAGTTCATTCTAGTTCCTCCTAGTTCATTCTAGTTCCTCCTAGTTCATTCTAGTTCCTCCTAGTTCATTCTAGTTCCTCCTAGTTCATTCTAGTTCCTCCTAGTTCATTCTAGTTCCTCCTAGTTCATTCTAGTTCCTCCTAGTTCATTCTAGTTCCTCCTAGTTCATTCTAGTTCCTCCTAGTTCATTCTAGTTCCTCCTAGTTCATTCTAGTTCCTCCTGGTTCATTCTAGTTCCTCCTAGTTCATTCTAGTTCCTCCTAGCCCCTTTCAGTTTATTCTAATTCCTCCTAGTTCATTATAGTTCCTCGTAGCCGCTCCTAGTTCCTGCTATCTCCTCCTAGCTCCTCCCAGTTCATTCTAGTTCCTTCTGGTTCATTCAAGTTCCTCCTAGCCCCGCCTAGTTCATTATAGTACCTCCTAGTTCATTCTAATTCCTCCTAGCCCCTTCTAGTTCATTCCGGTTCCTCCTAGCCCCTTCCAGTTCATTCTAGTTCCTTCTAGTTCATTCTAGTTATTCCTAGCCCCTTCTAGTTCATCCTACTCTCTCCTAGTTCACCCTACTCCCTCCTAGTTCATCCCAGTCCCACCAAGTTCATCCTACTCTCTCTTAGTTCATCCTACTCTTTCCTAGTTCATCCCAGTCCCTCCAAGTTCATCCTAGTTCCTCCTATTTCATCCTACTCCCTCCTAGTTCATCCTACTCTCTTCTAGTTCACCCTACTCCCTCCTAGTTCATCCCAGTCCCTCCAAGTTTATCCTAGTCCCTTCTAGTTCATCCTACTCTCTCCTAGTTCATCATACTCCCTCCTAGTTCATCCCAGTCCCACCAAGTTCATCCTACTCTCTCTTAGTTCAACCTACTTTCTCCTAGTTCATCCCAGTCCCTCCAAGTTCATCCTAGTTCCTCCTATTTCATCCTACTTTCTCCTAGTTTATCTTACTCCCTCCTAGTTCATCCTACTTTCTCCTAGTTCATCCTACTCCCTCAAAGTTAATCCTATTCCCTTCTAGTTCATCCTAGTCCCTTCTAGTTCATCCTAGTCCCTTCTAGCTCATCCTACTCCCTTATAGTTCATCCTAGACCTTCCTAGTTCATCCTACTCCCTTCTAGTTCATCCTACTCCCTTCTAGTTCATCCTACTCCCTCCAAATTCATCTTACTCCCTTCTAGTTCATCCTACTCCCTTCAAGTTCATCCTACTCCCTCCTAGTTCATCCTAGTCCTTTCCAGTAAACAAATTTACAAATGCGGGAATTTCTGTTTCCTTGGTTTAAATCCGCATTCGTCGACAGTATTCTTCTTAATTAACTTCTTCAGATTTTCTGATTTACAAGAGAACTCCTTGATACCTGATATTCTTGAGAAAATAAAACCTACAAAGATAATACATTTGTTGTGGGAGGGGGGGGGGGGCAAGTACTTTCACAAAACTTAATCAGCACCCCCCCCCCCTTACCCCAAATATATAAGTTACTATGACAGTAATCTGAAAACCATCTAGATTGACAACATTTTGAATAACCTTGCAAATACAATTCAATTCTAAAAATTAGATTTCCTAAAACTCCCTTATTTTTTTGAAAATCAAGATGAAAACAGGAAAAACTAATACATGCATCTATACAAAGGAATATATATAATATATATTTTCTTGTGAAATCTATGTATATTTTGAGTATAGATAAAAACATATATAAAAAATTGTGTTTCTTTCATGTTTAGTGCTTTTTTATTAGATTTCATATAAATCATTTATAAGCCTCAACTTAAAAAAATATTCCTATTTTTATCATTATTTTTATGAAAACCATGATTTATTTATGAAATATTGAAATCATAAACAAAGAATCAAAAGCTTATTATTTCACGAACGCGCCTTTCTTATAACAATTTTACTGTTTTGAGATTTTAGTTAAAATTTTCTTTACTCAATTCAATCCAATCTCTTTGTGTATATTCTTACAATCAATCGGTTATTATGTACATGGGACCTGGGTAATATTATGTACAATGGGACCTGGGTACTATTATGTACATGGGACCTGGGTACTATTTTTATTCCGATTTCTCATAAACCTTTTCATTCAGGGAAACTGCGTCTCCAAGCACAACAACATCAATTCTGTTAGTATTGAAACAGATGTGTGACAGAACGGTGAGCTTATTTCTCTTATCCACAACAACAACAGCAAGTCTAAAACAACAACAACAACAAAATAGTATTTAAAATCCACAACTAATATTAAACCCTTGAGGTTTCACTGAAAAGGGCGATAAAGGATTTCTTCAAGATATTTCTAATTTTTGGGGGGAAATATTTTTTTAGACCAAGGACTTAAATCTGGTCCTAGGACTCAGAGTTGCCAACTCCAAAATTTTGCTCAGAACCATATATTTGACTGCAGTGTAGTGAACCAGTTGGGAACTAAACTCCAACATGCAAAACCACTTCTAAACCAATGAAATTAAAAAAAAAACACTTATTTTCAAGTATGAAAAGAAAAACTTTGTCACCAAAGCTAGAGGGCTGTTCATCTCTGAAACTTTATCAGTCAGTATTAGATTTAGAAATAAATGCCTCCCCTTCTTAAATAAGGTTGCTTCCAAATGATTTTTTTAAATGGTCTTACTAAAATGGGGAAAATAAATAATTAAAGGATGGAATTTTTTACCTAGCGCTGAGCGCTGAACTTTCCTAGCCTTATTTTTTTAATCTAAAGCTATTAACCTGTGACATTTAAACTTTAATTATTTGATCTAGCAGAGTTTGTTGTTCAATAATTCAAAGGTCTACGAAATCAAGTTGAAAAGTTAAAACAAAATATTTATTTCTTATAGTGTGCTTTAAACATTTTCAGACATATTTGTTTCTTATAGTGTGCTTTAAACATTTTCAGACATATTTATTTATTAAAATGTGCTTTAAACATTTTCAGATATATTTGTTTCTTAAAATGTGCTTTAAACATTTTCAGATTTATATATTTCTTATAGTGTGCTTTAAACATTTTCAGACATATTTATTTCTTATAGTGTGCTTTAAACATTTTCAGATTTATTCATTTCTTAACATGGGCTTAAAACATTTTCAGGCATATTTATTTCTTATAGCGTGCTTTAAACATTTTCAGATTTATTCATTTCTTAACATGGGCTTAAAACATTTTCAGACATATTTATTTCTTATAGTGTGCTTTAAACATTTTCAGATTTATATATTTCTTATAGTGTGCTTTAAACATTTTCGGACATATTTATTTCTTATAGTGTGCTTAAAACATTTTCAGGCATATTTATTTCTTATAGTGTGCTTAAAACATTTTCACACATATTTATTTCTTATAGTGTGCTTTAAACATTTTCTGACATATTTATTTTTTAATATGTGCTTTAAACATTTTCAGCGTATTAATTTCTTAAAATCTTTAAACAATTTCAGACATATTTATTTTTTAATATGTGCTTTAAACATTTTCAGCGTTTTAATTTCTTAACATCTTTAAACATTTTCAGACATATTTATTTCTTAACATGGGCTTTAAACATTTTCTGACATGTTTATTTCTTAACATGGGCTTTAATGATTTTCGGACATATTTATTTTTTAAAATGGGCTTTAAAAAGTTTCAGATTTTTTTAGTTTTAACAATTGTTTAATATAAAGAAAGAAAAAACGACTAGGTTTTCTGGTTAATACCGTTGAGCTAGAATTATCTGAAGGCAGAATTTCATTATCAGTTTATATTCATTATTCATAATTGATAAATGAACTTACCTGAGACCTGCTGTAGAAATATTAATATATCTCGTCTAATACACTTTGAAATAAAAAGCATAACACAACGTTTTTACGCCCAACATGAAAAATATTAGTTTTTGGTCAGAACTTTATTTATTGTTTGGAACGGCTAAACTTCTGCCCAATTGGGGCAAAACAAACTTATGTTAATTTTTTTTTTACTTAATGTAGATCTTAAAGAAAATTCGGCTTAAATTTTGATTTAGATGGTTTTTTAAAACTCCTTTACCCTTAATTTATCGGGGTTGTGTGGGTGATGAGGGGGGGGGGTTGCATATTATTTTGTTTTATTTCCCTTAAAAACTTCAGAATTTAATTTTGGTATCAAAACATTTCCCAGAAATATAAAAATATTGCGCTAACAATACATCAAGATTTTAAAATAAAATTAAACGTTTTTTTCAGGCATTACAGCTGGGAACCACCTGCCTCAAATATATTCATAGACTTGTGCCAACCTATCATTCAATCAATTAACCACGATGATGCAATGAACCTTAACTATGTAATCTCCTCAACCTCAAACCTGCAGCAGGTGTAAACTCAGCCATTATAGACCACCCCAAAATTGTCCAATTAAAACTTTAAAATGCCCAAAAAGAAGTTCAAATATTCTATGGGTTCCTACACCCCTCTTCTCTTCCTCCTGGTGAGACGGATGAAGAACATTGAGGTGAAACCCAGTAATCTGATGGTGCAGTTGGTGCAGAATGCACTCCGCTCAAAATTAAAAGAAGATTCAATATGTGAATTTTCAAGTGCAGTGGGATCAGTTTTCCAAACTACTGAATCCTGGTAGACTTTTTACCTCTAGAGAATACTTTAAAGTTTACAGGAAAATAATAATGAAACTTATTTAAAACCATTTTTCTGTAAAAGTGATGTTTTCAAAAGAAATGGTTTTATAACGTGCAATCATCAACTGATGCACTTAATTTAAAAAAAACTTGATTCTCATGTTCGCAGTGCAGAGGTAAAATAATGATAATTAGCTCAATACTGACCTCGAAAAGGCGGACGAAAAAAGACCATCTGTTAAATGGATGATTGAAGAATTGTGAAAATTTAAACCGTATAAGGAAACCACACACCGATCTTATCCAGTCCCAGAGACGTTGTTGATAGTAAATACTGTGATGTTTGAGAGGGGGCAATTGATATGTACTGTACTGCACATATCTTTTATGTACAGATAGTGTTGTACAGTTGTACAGTGTACACACAAATGAAAAAAGCTATTTTATATTTTCCATTTGTTCATTATCTGAGTCTACAACAAATACAAATATTTTCTATTCCCCCAACCTGGAAGTACTTAGTGACCAAAAAAAATCACTGATTAGGGTTTTTAAGCTCCGATCTAGATTTAAATTTTGGAAAGGGGTCATTTGAATAATTTTCTGCTGTCTGATGCTTCCATTTGTTGAAACTATGTAAAATATTAAAGCCCTCTCTCTCTATTTCTACAGATATTACTTAAACAAGATCCTGTGAGTGGGAATATATGGACTGTCCTCTATTTGTGAATATTGGCTGTCCTCTATTTGTGAATATTGACTGTCCTCTATTTGTGAATACGACCCTTGTAAATATAATCGTCGAAACAAACTTGTGATAAATCAAGGACGCCTTTTCTTCCTTTTTTTATTTGGACAAAACCACAGCCTTTTCCCTCTATTGTCACACCTGTTAATTAATGCATTAGCACAATATGTTTTTTAGCTTTTGATACTATTCACCTAGTTTTGGTTTAATCTTTTCTTATTCAGCTAATTCCTCATTTCAAAAGTCATTTTCCTGTCCAGGAAACATAAACAAAAAAACATTAAATTATTTTCAGATTTTCCTATCTCAGCTCTTCAAGATTTTATTACAAATCAAGCAGTTCCAAAGATAGAGTCTTCAATGGTTGCAATTTTCTCATAAGAATTTTTAAACCAAGAACCAATCTTATATTTTTATTAGTTTTAACACAGAAAAATTTATATTATTTTTATGATCATTAAATTATAGAGAATCTTATGAACTGGAGGGAAGGACTTTTTTCTAAAGTGCAATTTTTTGGATTATGTTTTTAAAATTTTTTTTTTTGATTGATCGTCAAGGAATATACTTTTGAGATCTTTTGTTTATCTTTGACCGAAGATAGTTAAAATACATTTTTGGTTTTCTTTATCCCTCGATCTTTAACTTTTTGCTTTGCTGATCAAATTAAAGATAATCCTTTAAAGGCTTGCCCACACCTCACTGAGCTTTCATGCTAATTTTTCTTACTATTTTGTTCTGCTTTTAAGAGAAATTAAATTGCTTAAAGGAAAATCACGAATTTTACAAATTTGCTAATATTGCTATTTTCCAACTATTTGATCTAAAAAGCATACTATAATCGATTGTACAGGTCTGAACTATGAACCTTGAACTCTCAGTGTTATTGTCCGTCTAGCTCCAACTGTTGATAGTAATCTATGTACTATACTTCCGACTGTATGAACTGTACTGTACCAAACTATATTTGCTCAGCTTGTTAAGACCTCTCTACTCCTGTATATTTGATGTTTAAATGTGTAAAGTATACAGGAGACACCGTGTGTTTAATGTTTATTCAACTTTATTCAATATTTATTGCTAAAACACATACAATCAGTTAATAAACACAAAGTGATAATTCTAAAATATTTAGATTAGGAACCATATTCTTGGTTTTCATCTTTCAATTTATTATTCTCAGCTTCAGCTAAAATTTCTTTCTCTGTTTACTTTTTTCTATCTAGCGCTATATTTGTCCAAGATGTCTCAATTTCTGTGTAAACAAAACCTTTCACACTTTTCTGAAATTGCATTTGCTCCCCAGTAATATAATCCCCAATTCCCCAAATTTAAATTCTTCTCTCTATAAACAAATTCAGTGTGTCTCCTTTAAAGGGAGTGTTCGCGAAAAATGAAAGGGGGTATAGGCTTACGGCGAAAAATAATCACTTTAGATCGCTACAAATCTATATCTGTTGCGTCTATAAGGAGAAAATTGTTAAAAACGACTTATACTGAAGAACGTAGCGTCCATACAAATTCAGAAAGTTGCAACATATGACTCTGATCGTAAAATAATAAATTTGATTTCAAACAAATCATTCAGATATTACAACCTAAAATCATCGATTATTTTTCGATGCCGCATTTGTATATAGTTAATATTTAATATTCATCTTATATACAATGCCCTTAAAACGCAGAAATCGTTGGCCGCCAGATTACACGTGGCAGAAACACCTAACGGAAAAAAATCGTTTTAAGTGCATTGTATAATAAACAAATAACAGATATTATGAAATATTAACTTTATACGAATCCGTCGAAATTCGAAAGATAATCGATTATTTTATGTTGTAAAATCTGAACGATTTGTTTGTAATTAAATTGATTTTTTTACGATATAAGTCTTATATTGCAACTTTCCGAATTTTTATGGACGCTACGTTCTTCAGTATACGTCGTATTCTTCTTATAGACGCAACAGAGAGAAGTAAGATTAGTAGCGATCAAAAGCGATTATTTTTCACCGTAAGCCTGTACCCCCTTTCATTTTTCGCGAACACTCCCTTTAAACATTAGTCTTACAAGTTTGTCCACAAAGGATGACTTCAGAGACGACTGTACAGAATTTGCACTGTCTGTTCCCTTATATTCTCGGTTCCCTGCAACTGTAAACAGTAATTCTCTATTTGCCAAATCATTAAATAAGCTACATATGAGAAGACTATATTTTTTCAACCTTGGGACTTGTGGTTGTTCCTTACTTTAGAATACAACTAGTCTATTTTCAAATTGTGGTCAGCTTTTCAAATTAACACTGCAATCTTTTATCAGCACTTTTTCATTAAATAGACTTCGAAGGTCACAGACGTCTCTGAAATATAATGCACTGTATAATTCTCCTCTATTCACCGAAACCCCCCCCCCCCCCTCGCCTACCAATTGTTCTCAGTGAAGTGTGGGGAAATTAACTAGTAAACTGAGACTCTACTATCAGCAAAATATCCTTTTTAGTTCGGATACACTTGAAGTTAGAATTAGATTGGAAGAACTGGGGAAAACCACGTGAAAGAAACCGGGACCAATGTCAGATTTCCCCCTACCATGGCCACACTAATATATAGATTCCTCCTCCCAATATTTCTAGAAATAAAATATCTAAATTTTTAACACTTCCTGACGCGTAATACGGTGTTGTTGATGTACATATCTGAATTACTCAAGAGACAGACAATCCAACACATTGTACATTGTACGTGTTTACACCGTATGTTGTACACAATTAGTTTTACGTTGAACATCTGTACATAATCATTTATCACCCTTAAAGTACACAATGTACAGAAGACATCTAATTAAATGAGCTATTATAGTAATAAAAATTCTACATGATCTCCTTTATTTTTTAGCATTTTGATGACAAGAGGCGACTTTTCTCAAGTTTTCTTTTTTATCAAATCTAATCATAGGTCGGAACTTCTTAATCCATTCAGGAAATACAAGTTAAGCAGTATAAGTTAACACCTTCAGGAATCTATAATTAGAAACCACTCAATCCCTATTAATGTTTGAATTTTCACTGTGACATGGTCATGCTATCTCATACAAAAGTTGCAGTCTCTGGATTTTAGAAACGTCCTTCTACTACTATTATTATTATTTAAGGACAACCCCACATTCAATGGAAAAGGGACATTCTTCTACTACTATCATTATTATTTAAGGACAACCCTACATTCAATGGAATAGGGACGTCCTTCTACGAGTACGATTACTATTATTATTTAAGGACAACTCCACATTTAAAGAAATAGAGTATTAGAGAAGTCTTTATAAATTTTTCAGAAAACTCTTTAATTTTAATAAAAGTTTGAGAATATACCAGAGGCCTGTACAAAATGAAAAGAATTGAAGAAATACGAAACAAATTTTAAAATGAAACTTTACTATTATTTTATTTGATTTGAGACTTTTAAAACTCATTTAAAAAACAAATCCAAAAAAAATATGTAAAAGAATTATGCTTTTTGCGATTTGAGATTAGAAACTTCATCTCAGTTATTTTGCAAAGTTCATGAACGAGAGATGAGATTGAGGATTATTTATAATAAGAATGAACACTTTCAGCTGAGATTTAAGTGTTAAAAAAGTTGATACAAATATAACTAATATTTTATCGAATTTTGCCGTACAAGAAATTTGTACACTGTGAATTTTAAAAGGTTTTTTATATCAAAAGTTACGTCGATTTTTCTATAAGGAATGGAATTTTATCTTTATCGTCTGCCAAAAATGCTGACAGGGAAAAATCGAAATTAAAAAAATTATTTTTATAATTAAACTAACATGAAAATCCAGCATAGTCTGGCCCCATAAATGATTTGTAAACCAAGCAAAGAATATTCCCTTGGTTCTACCGAGTTCACCCATAAAAATTTGAGTTAAATTGGCAAAGGAGTTCATGAGTTATGATCGGAAATACAAACAGACCGACATCAAAACAAAACTATAACTTTATATGAGTACGTTGATTGTAGTTTCAACGGCTTTGACAAATCAAAGAAACTTTAAAAAAACGTCAAATTTGACCCTTAAAAAGAATTGTTCGCAGATTCTAAATTTTTTTTATGCTTTTTTAATAATTGTTTTTCTTCTAAAGAAATCTAAAACCACTTAAAGCTAGGGTTTATACCAACAGAAACTTGAAAACTATTATCCAACAATATTAACCCTACTTAGCAACTGTACAGTGTACATTGCAGACTGCAGAGGGGGTAGCAGAGAAATTTTGAGATCCGTTTCTGAAGGTTTCTGATCTGGGGAGTTTATAAGGGAATACATAAACAGTCACACTACACTGATGACAATTATATCATTATTCACTCATTCAATCGACAAATCAATTAATCATTATTCACTCATTCAATCGACAAATCAATTAGTCAATATTCAATCATTCAATCGACAAATCAATTAATCATTATTCACTCATTCAATCGACAAATCAATAATTAATCATTATTCACTCATTCAATCGAAAAATAAAATAATCATTATTCACTCATTCAATCGACAATTCAATTAATCATTATTTACTCATTCAATTGACAAATCAATTAATCATTATTCACTTATTCAATCGACAAATCAATTAATCATTATTCACGCATTCAATTGACAAATCAATTAATCATTATTCACTCATTCAATCGACAAATTAATTAATCATTATTCACTCATTCAATCGACAAATCAATTAATCATTATTCACTTATTCAATCGACAAATCAATTAATCATTATTCACGCATTCAATTGACAAATCAATTAATCATTATTCACTCATTCAATCGACAAATTAATTAATCATTATTCACTCATTCAATCGACAAATCAATTAATCATTATTCACTCATTCAATTGACAAATCAATGAATAACTTAATAAACTAACCATCATCCATCAATGAATATAAAAATCTATCAATCAAAAAACAATGAAAAATTAAATAAGCATGGTAAGAGTTGTATAAATGTATTCATTATAAACATACTCGAATCATTATCACAAATGAAGGATTAACAAGATAAAAAAAGTTTAACTGAATCTATTTAAGATTTAGTAATTTAGTTTAAGCTGGAGTATGTTAGAGTCCAAGGGGCGCTTAGGTTGGAAGAAATATTTCGTGTCTCCGTATACAATCTTATCCTAAACAATATTTAGCATTTAGGTTTTAATCTATACAACCTTCATATCAATAAAATACTAAACCAGTGAGGCGACCTTTAATGTGTTTTAAGACTTTAAGACATAAATCTAATATTTGCAGCAATAATTACAAATCGTCTTTACATTCTGCTTTAACTGGGCGACCACTGTTAAATTACTAAACCTACACTGCAGTACGGTACAAGTGTTAACTTGTATATGAATGACTAGAATATCAAGCCTAAAATACAAAGAAGTGTAAAAATTGACCTGTACATGATCTAGCAGTACTTGAATGATTGGATCTGTCTCTAAAGGAGAAAGATCAAGAAGATCTAACAAGGCCCAGATGCCGTCCACAAGCTTACTTAGAATCCTCCTAAACACAATCAGAATCAGAATCAGAATCAGAATCAGAATCAGAATCAGAATCAGAATCAGAATCAGAATCAGTATATGATTCAAACAAAAATTTACAAATCGTATTTCTATAAGCTTCCTAAACCTGTCTAAATTCAAAATATGTACACCAAGGATCCAGTACACCGTACGCGACCAAATTACCATATTACTATTTGGGATAATTAATGTATCTAACAAATTGAAATACAAAGTAAATAAATACTTAATAGCGAAAGAAATAATTTCGAAGAAAAAGTTAAAATAAATATTTTTAGATTTTTAAAAATTAANAAAGTGGTTGTAATTGTTCTATAACTCAGGTATTTATTGTTTAACAATAATCCGAGGTTGCTTCATTTCATAATTAGATTCAGATATATTTAACCTGATTCCAGTTTCATTATACCATAAAACAACAAATTTGCAGTCTAATTTGATAAACTGGCAATATGTTTGTTAGGTATTACATATTTCACGCGCATTTGTGAATCCCAGCAGAATGGAAAAGTCGTTGCGCGCAAATTTCCGCAAAGTTCGCTTCCGCTGAAAAACTAATGTGCGTCCTTAATGTACGTTGTTAATCTAAGTCCTCACAAGTGCACCCCCATACATGGTTTTTCATTATTCGTTAATGGACCCGAATCATACAAATAAGTGCATCTGCATAAAAACTTCGTAATAAGTGAGTTGATTTTTTTTTGCTTTTTTTAGTCATCATAGTTAATATATATTTGAAACATGGATTGCCTCGTCTATAGAAAATACATCAAAACAAGATATTTCCGGTTTTACCTGGTTTGTATATCTCGGATAAATATATATATATTTAAAACATGGATTGCCTCGTCTATAGAAAATACATCAAAACAAGATATTTCCGGTTTTACCTGGTTTGTATATCTCGGATATATATATATATATTTGAAACATGGATTGCATCGTCTATAGAAAATACATCAAAACAAGATATTTCCGGTTTTACCTGGTTTGTATATCTCGGATAAATATGAGACCAATAATAAGAAGCCTAACACCAGGAAACTAATCCTATTTTTCTTGTAATTGCAATATATATAACGTTAAACATTCTATTTCCTTGTAGTAAACATCTCAGCAACAAATACATCTGATAAACTTATAGTATAGTATGCAACTAGCAACTTAAAAGAGTGGCGCCGCCACTGAAGAATTGCGATTATCAATGTTGTGAAGAAAAAAAAAATTTTCTTTAGCGCTTCGCGCATCATTTATTTTAGAAATTCTTGCTATTTTCTCCTTTTCAATTTGAAGAAAGTCAATCACACTTTATTTATCCTCGTGTCAAAAAAATAAATATTTATATAAACAACATGTTACTTCTTATGGGTATTACAAAACATGACGTTTAATGGTACCAGAGGCGTATTCAGCAGGGGAGGGGGGGAGCTATGAAGCTATGGTGTAGACTATAATAGGGGAATTAATACACATATAGTGTATATGATTAAGCCAGGGTCTAACTGACTTTAAGAAAAAGATTAAAAAATATGCTTTTAAAATGGGGAAAATATGACACTAGAACTCAAGATGAACAGCATTTTTCTTTAGCGATTCGCACACAAATTCAAAGAAATGGTTTACATAGTTTATTTTACAGCTGTTGAAAGTAAACAAATTTTAAAACTAAGAACAAGCCATAGGATATGAACACAAATCGGTTTGCATTGAACACTGAGTCAAATCTGTACATGTAACAACTGAAAAACACGGGGGTTCTAGTCCCTTCGTTACCCCCCCCCCCCTCCCCTTTCAAAAAAAAATTTCGCCCCCCCCCCCATGATAAAAGTACTAGTTGCGACCCTGATAGAATCTGCGAAATCAAAACACCGGTAAAAATCCGATATCAATTGAAGTACTTTAACCGCCATTGAACTCATATGAAAAATATAACCATGAGAAGGGAAATATACTGAAAAAAGAACTCCGTAGAAAAAATTGACGAAAAAATACTAGGTGTGTTGTGTACAATGTATAATACACTTAAAGAAACATTATCAAACAGCTTTTTGATCAACATTTTGTTTCGAGAGAGACCCAAAGACTAAGAGTGTCTTAGTAAATAGTTCCGAGCAATGTTCCAAACCTTGATTGTGTTGCCGCCATTGTATTCTGTTTATCCCTATCCTTCACCATTATCTCCAGACTACGGAAGAATGAGAGCAAGGGAGGGAACACGTCGGAAACAGTTCGTTTGTGAACAAACTCTCGTGCATGCGTTGCAATCACCCACAGACAATCAAATGCCTAAATTATTGGTTAAAAAATAAGGATTATACATTTCACTAGAAAACAGGCTTCGGGTTGTATATCAAACAAATATTTTAGAGAAAAAATAGTAAGTGATATTCTTAAGAAAGGGATTGTTCCCATGTAAGAAAAATACATAAAAATCTGAATTTGGAAAACGACAAGCCAAATCTTACCAATTTAGATACATAGATCCCCCGATGATCAATAAAAATTGTATAATGTATTCAAGTTTAAAAAAGGATATCAAGTATTGTATATTTTCAATTTGGCGAATGTCCCAAATCTTTTAAAATTAATTGTTTCCATGATCCGTAGCAGGAGGGGGGGGGGGGCTTTTGGGAAATACAAACCCCTTTTCTTTAATATTTTATACGGTGTAGTTAATTCTTAAAATTTGAAAAGACTGCTAAAAACGCTTCTACCTTGTCTACTATGAAGATGTTTGTGGATTTGAAGAGTAAATGTAGAGGAGACCAAACTTGATGAACCAGGGGCATAATAATTTCCTGAAAACATTCATATCCATATATTATAAATGAAGTTAGATATATATATATATATATATATATATAGATAATTAACTTGAATTAAGAAACCTGCTTTTCTCCATATATTTGACCAGGTGTTGAACCAAGTAAGCTTATGCATGATGTTATACAGTCGAGTGCAGCCAATTGCCAAACCGGTTTTCCAGCCATAGAAACAAAATGGCGGACATGATCTAGAACAGTCTTAAGGAACTTCTGATCCAGGGTTAGTGGAGTAGCTTCAGGTTCCGGTTCAGGTTCGTCCATATTGACATCATCATCTTGTTGATCATGCAATCCTTCTTCTGGACATTGTAGAAGTTCTTCTGTTTCTTCAATCTCTGCTTTTCTCTTAGCTTCCCATTCTTGAACCATGGTTGTTATTATTCCTGTATCTTCTGTCTTCACTACCCTCTCAACAGTTTTCTTGAAGACCTCCTGGTATCCAGTCACAAATATTCGAACCAGGTTCAGTATTTCTATGCATCACAGTTATAAAAAGATCTTAAAGAAGGAAGGAAAATTGAAAAAGAACCCGCTAAAAAGACTTTAAAGTACAGACAATAGCTCGGTTTGGGGACTATTGTTTGATTTCCTGTTCTCTTCCGATCCTAAGCCCCCATGTCCATCCATGCTGTAGCAGCCTGTTTGAAAATAATAAAATTAACAATTGAGATGCATTTTCCTAAAACTTGATGTTCTTGACTTGTTGCAAGGTTAACTACTAAGGATTCGATTGTATCATTTAGGTCTTCTAAATCCTGATTTTCAGGAGATACCTGCATCACGAGCCTGTAGGAACCAAGGATCAAGTTTTAACTTAAAAAGATACTCTCCAATTTAAACGGGAGAATTTGCACAAGTGACTTGATTCCCAAATAGAATTTTTCTCAAATGCCAAATTAGAATAAAAGAGGAAAGGTCCATCTAGGGAGGGAAGGCGACCAGCACCCATTTTACCTCTGACCCGCAGATGACGTCACAAAATGGGATTTGTGGCATGCTTGGCAATTGTTTTAAGTCTGAAAATTGTTGTTATTTCTATTAGGCACTGTCAGTCAGGTACGACTGGTTTTAACTAAAAATTTCTAATTTAATTGGATTTATAATAAACTAACTTTTACTGAATCGCACACCAAAATGCAAGATTTTATTTAAGAAATGATTTTTTCTTTGTGGTCTAAAAATTTTTCGAGTATTTTTCAGCCTATATATACTCAAATATGTCATTTTATGAATACAAATGCGGGCGGAAGACATACGGGAAAGTGACATAAATAGCGAAATGCCTCAAATACGATCCACACTAAAATGTTGTTTGATCAGAATTTTTAAATCTATTGCTTATTTCAGCAGGGAATTGTGCTACTGTTACGAACAAAAATATGATGATTATTATCATTATATGATAGATGTCATGACGTCTTTATAACTTTAAATTAATGCTGCATTCGTCTATAATTAGCATATACAAATTAAGAAATTTTGCCGGAAGGCAAAACGGGTGAGGGTCAGAGGTAAAACGGGTGCGGGTCGCCTCCCCCCCCCCCCTCGTCCATCAATATGTATATGATATTTTAGGTTTGGTACAGACACGTTCTGGTTCTTGGTACCGTATGCTGCGGTTATGTCATTTTATTAAGTGAAACGTGGTAAAACGACAATTTATTAAATTTGAAAACTTAGTTATTATGTCCTGATTCTAGATTTCCTAATAAGGGTTGGAAGACCAGGGCTGTTGGTTTGTCTTTGTCTCAACATTAGATTCAGATCTTTGGTCAAATGATCAATATTATTCAAAAGCAGATCTTGAATTGATAATCCACAACCTAAATAAACGAATATTGTATGAAACGAACTTGTTGCATAGTTTACGAAATGAACAGGTTTCCAATAAATAACAAACTGCAGCTGAACGAAAAACTTGAGTCATATAATTTAAACGTGTAAAGATAAAAAATTCTGATGAGGAACAATCTTGGAGAAAATAGTCGTCAAATTTTAAAGTTTTCACATAAGAACAAAATCAAAATAGATCAAATAAGACAATGTTTGAACCACTTCCTGACCTTATGTCTGCTACAGACAATGTTTGAACCACTTCCTGTCCTTATGTCTGCTACAGACAATGTTTGAACCACTTCTGAACTTATAATGTTTTGAACAACTACCTGAACTTATATCTGCTACGGAGAAGAAAAGAACTTGAACAGCTAAAGGATCGACCAAGGATACACTGGAGACCAAGTAAAGCAGGATCTCAGGATGATAGCAACTACAAATGAACAATAATTAATTGCAGCAAAACAATCAATTAATCAATTAATGCGTCTTTAATATTCAGGAAAGGAGAAAAATCAATGCGTCTTAACCTGAGTTTGTTTCCACATATATTTCCAATAATGCCAAGTCCTTCAACAGCCAGCAATTCTTCGGTCCACTGATCATTCATCTCACTAATTGACCTTGATATCTCTCCTGAAGAAAGAAAAATTATGAACAACCTGAGAACCATGTTTTGTTCTAAAATAACCTGATTTAGCTTTAGCAAGTACATTCTGGTGTAGTGTTGGTTTTATCTCAATATATTTCTGCAGTACACTAAAAAAAACAGTAAAATATCAGCAAAGTATGTATTTATATACAGTAAAACTCTTAAATAACCCGGAATAATGTTAATCGATTGATGACTTCAAAGAGTCGCCTTTGACCGTAGAAATAGTTTTTGACATTAAACATAGCATTATGAAACCATAAAAACAGAATAGCCATAATCATGCCATTTGGAAAATATGGTCTGCCTTTTTTTGCTCTCAAAAATACAAGATATATGTTGAATTATGTTTAAATTTCAATTTATTAAATAAAACAATGAAAATGTCACATTATGAACGAAATCATTAATATCTCTGGTAATAATGAAAGCACAAAAATGGCAGCCCACGTTTTGAAAATGGTAGGACTAGCGCTATTCTGTGATTATTGTTCAATTAAAAATTCAAATAAAAATCAATATGTACTATTATTATTACCATCTTTAATAATTAAAAAAAAACATCATTTAATTCTATATTCGAAATGTGTGCATGGACAGTAGACAAAGACATTATAATTGTTTTCCTTGTGCAGGCTTGAGCTGAATCCTCGTCTACATCTTTTCTACCGGAGATAACAAGGTTCAAGATATTGATTACCTCTCTCTAAATGAAAAGTTTTCACATGACATGAGTATCGACACAACATAAAGCGAAGAATGATACGGTTTAAACTATGAAAAAAAATTTTAGTTTAGGATCCAGATATGGTGACAAATTATCTACAACAAAAAAATTAAAAGTAAATTTTTTGTTATAACCGCAAATATTTTAAGAGTTGACAACAATGAGATATTGAGAGATTGATTAAACTCCACTCTGTGCTGCAAGTCTGATATCTGATTCTGTTTTAATCTGAACTTGGTCCGAGCAAACGCTAGGTAATGTGAAAAGTTAATTGTGTTTTAAACGTGCAGCTCTTGTCTCTAATAAGCCAATCAAATTTGAGCATAACAGATAATTGAAAACAGAGAAAAAGAAATATTTATGAGCTAGATCTAGATCAAAACAAAATGGATTAAGCCATAGTTCTGCAAGATGTTTGTACTTAATAATTCTAATGAATGTGGTGAAACCATTCCTTGAGATATTCTAACTCCTCAACTCCTTCTAACAGGTATTCTAGGATTATGTAAAAACTCTCCATGCATCCTAATATCAAGAGTCAACCATGGAACAGGACAATAATATATTCCCACCCTTCCCCCCTCCTCTTACTCTCCTTTAAACAATCTTTGCCAATTTAACCTAAATGTTTAAACGTTAAAAAACTTGTTTTTCAACCGAAACTATACAAAACTGGACAAATTGCTTATTTGTCATGCTGTAGAATGTAGAAATCAACGAGAGGTTTTTAATAAAAAAAAAAACTGCAAACAGATTTTAACAGAAAAACAATTAAAATAAAAAATGAGCGCACAAATAAAGTTTCAAAGAATAACGTAATAACTTGTTATAAACACTTTTAAAATAAAAGGTCACAATAAAATGTTTTGACATGATGGTATAACTATATGCCTAAAAGTCTGCATATATGTTGAAGAAGGATCTTTAGTTTGGTTGAAGTCAGATACCGGTAATCCTTCTCTGCTCTCCCTCCACTAACAATTGTACAAATGTTTCACATGGAAAAAAACAATAATAAAGAAACTTAAAACAAAAATATATAAAAAAAATTAAATCATTAGTAAAAATTTATTTTCTGATTTCTACAATTCCCTGAGATAATATTCTGGTTTGAATAAGAAATTAAAATCAGAGAAATCCTAAAATGAAAAATAATCAATTAATTTGCAAAACCCCATGCGTTTAAAAACTTTGGGAAAATTAAAAAAATGATCCCCCCCCCCGCCACACCTGTTTGCGGGTGTGGGCAGGAAGCTCGGAACCAAACATACACGATGCTCTGTTAGAGAACTGAGATACACGGATTAAGTTCTGTACAAGCACGCTTATGTACACCTACATATAGTGGTACATATAGAGGATTTTATTGTATTTTATACGAGATTTCTCTTTCATTGCTAATTTTATTTACTTTTTATATCTTAAAAATATAAACATGGGCCTAATTTTGTAGTAAAACTTTAAATTTTCTTTCTAATTGCATATTTCTAAAAAAAAGCAAATATCTTTTAAAAACGTTTAAAAATGAAAATAAAAACATTAGAATTAGGGATTTATAACTGAGTTTCTCCTCTAAAATTCCTTTGTGACAAAGAAGACTGAACTTCTCTCAATCCTCTGTAGAAATCTAAACAAAAATAAAAGTTGCACGTCTAACGATTTTACATGATCAAACATGAAACATTATACCTTAGAAATCCTAGAAGAAGGGACAGGGTTGCCTCAAGCTTCTGCTCAGTTTACAGTCCCAAACATGAAAACATTATACCTTAGAAATCCTAGAAGAAGGGACAGGGTTCCCTCAAGCTTCTGCTCAGTTTACAGTCCCAAACATGAAATATTATACCTTAGATATCCTAGAAGAAGGGCCAGGGTTCCCTCAAGCTTCTGCTCAGTTTACAGTCCCAAACATGAAACATTATACCTTAGATATCCTAGGAGGGACAGGATTGCCTCAAGCTTCTGCTCAGTATACAGTCCCAAACATGAAAACATTATACCTTAGATATCCTAGAAGAAGGGACAGGGTTCCCTCAAGCTTCTGCTCAGTATACAGTCCCAAACATGAAAACATTATACCTTAGATATCCTAGGAGGGACAGGATTGCCTCAAGCTTCTGCTCAGTATACAGTCCCAAACATGAAAACATTATACCTTAGATATCCTAGAAGAAGGGACAGGGTTCCCTCAAGCTTCTGCTCAGTATACAGTCCCAAACATTTCCCAACTTCAACACTTGAAAATAACGTATTTATATCTCCGGGATCCTCTGGATAAAACCTTTTGTATCTTTTTTCATTTTTCATTGATTTGTTCCTAAGATGGTCCGGCAGAAAAAAAACTGTTTTTAGAGGGAAAGTTCACGTAAAAAAGACCTAAATCTGCGTTAATTTCTAAACTGAATGTGTACAGAGGAGGTTTCTGTTTCTATACCATAACCATTCACCAGTGCAATGCAATGTTTCTTCCAAAAGATTTAATCTCATGAAAACTCTCCAAGATATGGCACGAGGCGCTTAGTTGTTTCTTTATACCAAAAGCATTTTTTAAATACCTTAGATTGTGGAGCTGTGTATTAATCTGTAATGACAGATCGTCTTTATCCGTATATTTCAGTGCATACGTATCCAACAGATCATTACATCTATTAATATTTATAATTTATAATTTTCCCTTTGACATAAGGTTAAAAACGAATCCCCACCCCCAAAGGAACAAATTTTTCTTCCAGTTATTTAAAAAAATCTCTCATTCCCCTTTAAAAATGTTTCGTTATGTTGCAGCAACATAATACGATTTTGTTCCATAGTAATTTTAACTAATACCTTGAATTGATTGATGTATTCTCATCCAAAGAACACACTACCAGCATGTTCAAAACAATTGATCTAAAACAGTATAATTTACCACATACTTGAGACACAATTGAGATCTGAAAAATCGGTAATTTCTGACCCTAGGAGTTGTGGTAACTCAAATTTTACCCCGAAACCTCGGGTGATTTGAAATATTTATCACGAAACCTCTACCATCACTGAGCAAGAGGTCTTATTCAATCACCCGCATAGATAACATGGGCAGATTGCAATTGGAAACACTATCCGGAAGTAATGGTATTAAGAGTTCTTATAATCTTAGCAAACTTAAACAGGTAATTAATAGCTGCAGCGCTCGGCCCCCTAGCCCATCCTGGCCGAAGCGCTGGGCCCAGATATAATCCCAACCAAACCTAACCCACGATATAGAAAACATGAGCAGATTGTAATTGTATAGCAGTTAATGTGAACAAAATGTGTGATTCTAAAGGTTTCGCGGTTTATTACTTAATTTATAGTATGGATATTGTTTATTGGGGCCTATGATCGATGATAGATAGAACTTATTACGTGACCTAATGGATGGATTTTATAGTTAGGGCCTTACCACTATTCTGCTACACGGATTGAACCATAAAATCTTGTTATAATCAACTTTATAACAAAATGAAAAGTTAGAAAGAGATTGGTTTTATAGTTCTACTGTACGTACGATATACAAATCTGTTTTTCGCAACACTCTCCAGTCGTAATATTTAAAATTAATTCTTTTACAAATAAACACTTTTAAAAACAAACAAACCTGAAAGCCTTTCATTTCTACTTCAGACATTAATGGGACTGTATGCGTAATTTTGCGTGACCTTCCCTTTATAATGGTAACTGTTAAACCTTTAACCGCCATCAAAGATGGCAGACTTTTCCCAACTTATCTACAACAATTCCCCAACGGGATAAATTGATGGTGAAAAGATTATCATTTGGAGAGTTCCTTCCATTTTCCTTTTTAATTTTCTTTTTTCTCTCTGTTTCTTGTTTGTAGGTTTCTTCAATTTTACTAAATCTTTGTTATGCTTAGTGGTCTAAAAATGGAGCCCACAACATTTGTCCACAAAGAAATCAATTCCAAATGCTGTTTGTGACAAAAAGGTATTAGGGTTGAGGTGGAAAAATTGGAATTTTAGAGTAGGTCATGTAGGGAGGGTATCAAGCAACGTCACTTGAAATTAAGCTTTCAGTACCTTTTATGAAATAGAAATCAAAACGAAATTAAAACATTATAAACCGTAAAAGGCAAACCATCGTTCAGTGGTAAATTTTCGTCAATTTCCAGGTTTACTTTGATGCAAGTTTTGAGTCGGTCAATAAATCAGTAAATCAATTAATCAACAAAAAAATTAATCAAAAATATATACTAATTGGTCATCAGAGTCTTTGTGTAATCAGTCAACAGTGTCTACTAAGATACAAGATTTAGGTTCTCAGTTTACCTTGAATTTTCTAGAATATTCCAACAGTTCAGAAGAATCCCATCAGCACAGTTTAGCACAGCCTTTTTTATTCTAAAATCATTTCAAAATTTTCGTAAAGTACACAGAAGGTTTTATTAAAACTATGTCAGTATCTTTATTGATCTGAGTCTGAAGATAAGAGCTTTATATTGGTTGAACTGTTCCAGGATCTGTATTAATGTACCTGTGATCTGAGTGTGAAGTTAACAGCTGTAAATTGGTCCACTGTTCCAGGATCTGTATTAATCTACCTGTGATCTGAGTGTGAAGTTAACAGCTGTATATTGGTCCACTGTTCCAGGATCTGTATTAATCTACCTGTGATCTGAGTGCGAAGATAACAGCTGTATATCGGTCAACTGTGCCAGGATTTGTGTCTGTATTCACGGAGACGTTCCTAACACCATTGATAAAAATAGGAATTGAAGTAAAATATTACCATTTTATCAACAATTGTGGGGGGGGGGGGAACAAATTTTAAAATATTAAAAGAATGTCTCCGACTCCCTGAGCTTTCCCCCTCCAGACTTGATCCAATTCCTCCATCCGGGCATCACAAAATATCTCTGGATAGAAAATATTCCAGATTTATTAGCCAAGATTTTGACAAACTATTTGAACAACAAAACGTGTTAATATCCTACAGAAACTTAAATAAAAATACAGTTTTTAAATAAAGACTTTTTGGAGTTAAAAGTTTTATAATTCTATTAAAAATTAACAAAAATCTTCTTATTTGATCACACTCTGTGAACGATTTTTTTTTTCTCATTAAGTTAGTATTTTGATAAAAACAGAAATTTTGGCTTAGTGATCAGTAGTTAAACATGATCATAAAATAAACTGTTGATAGAGAGGGTGTGTTGAAGAGAATAAAAACTTAGTGATCAGTAGTTAAACATGATCATAAAATAAACTGTTGAAAGAGAAGGTGTGTTGAAGACAATAAAAACTTTCCCAACCAATAAACACTTGGAAAAAATGAATGTTTTTAAGTGATATACTTTTCTTAACTTTAAGAAGCGATAACACACACTGTGTTTGTCTTAATTCTAAGTCAAATTGCATACAAGTATGCTATCGTATTATATATCATGTAGTTTTTTGATTTTTCTCTTGAACTGCTGCTTCGTCAATACTTGAATAGATAATGATGTTCTTTAAATTTCACAAAATCTAGTTATAAAAAAGAGACCTCTTTTCTTAACATTTCTAAAAATTCCGTAGTTCAAAATTTCAAGAAAATTTTTTTTCTATCTTCTCAGAATAAGAATGTAACATTAATTTTGGAAAGAAAAAACGAAAAAATGTTTCCGTCAACTAATAAATTTTTCTTGATTAATTTACAAATGTATGTACATGCCACTATCGTTAAATAGTTTTATTGCAAAATCAATAAAAACAATTTTGTAACCTTAATATAATCTCGATACGGAGATAATAAATATCTAGATCTTAAAAACTTTAAGAATCATCTTTATTAGTAAGTAAGTAAATCTTTATTAAGTCATCTAACTTCAAATATTTAACAATGCTCATTGTTCAACTTCGAAGTGGAATTACAATTTGCAACTTCTTTGCAAGTTTTGATAAGAAAGAAAATCTTTTTTAACAACTGTGAATATTTTCCTGTGACATAAGCAGCCCAGACTTGGATAGCAGACGCCTTGATGCTGGACTGGGAAGTGGATGGATCCTAATTTTATTAAAAATTTGATATTTTTTAAAAACAAATTAAATATGAAATGTTTATCATAAAAAAACGAAGACAGTTAATTATAATCAAAACCAATTTAAATTTTCAAAATTTTTATTTTTAATTTCCTTGAATATTTTTGTCAGTTTGCTAAGTGTACCAGGGAAGAACCCCTGTACAACAATACTTGATGAAAAAATTTTTTTTTTAAAACGACTTGAAGGGAATTTCGGAAGATAACAATAACACATTTTTTTAACTTAATTCATATTTTTAGGTCTAGTTTGATGGATAAAAAAATGATTATTCTCGACAAACTATCAATAACAAGAAACTCCAGAGACTGGAGTAAAAAAATTAAGGTTTTCCTCAAATCAACGAAAATCATCTTATTGAAAAAATACATTTGAATAACATGTAGAATTTTCCCATCTGTGTGTATATTTAACATATTAACATAAACACTAGATATTAAAGTAATAAAAGATTTAATGTATATTGTGCAATCCTGAAATATGTTTTCATTTTTCCCGGCTCTCTACACAAAATAATCAAATTATTAAAATCAAAGAATTTAAAATGCACCAAATTATATTTCAGAGTTCTAACGAGAACCATTAAATAAAACAAACATTATTCTTCTTATCAAGTAAAAATTAAAAAACAAAAATTTAACTGAAGTCGGAAGAAAAGCCTATAGAATAATGCTTCAAGGGGATAACTCGTAAGTAACAAATTAAAATAAATTCAAAAAAGAAATTATTTTTAATTAATAATTGTGTATTTCCTTGTGCAGTAAATTTTTGAGTAGCTCTAAAGATTTAGTTCTCAGTTCAATAGATCTAAATATATAATTAGTAACAATTTTGATTGGAAAAAAGTTAATGTTTGAGCTGTAGACTGAAAAAAAAACATTGTAAACACTATTTTAGAATATGTGTATTTAAGAAAAAGAAAAAAACGTAAATTTTTATTTTTGAAATTTTACCTTTCCATTTCTGCCCATGTTAGCGTTGAAAAAACAAGATGGCTGATGGGTAGTTTCATTTCAATAGAGTAAAAATCCTCTAAAAAGTTATATTTACTAAGAAACGTCCGAAGCCGAGATCTTTTGAATGAGATAAAGTTAACCTTGATTAGAACTTTTGAATAAAAGACTATAACTCAAGAGGATGATCGTTTTTATTGCAAAAGGATTATATCGCTAATTATGCCGTATAAACTCAGCTCCTAGCGTAAGCCTGAATAGGAAAGATGGAATATTTAACTAATTCTCTCCTCTCAGGAATATTAACCGATTTAGAATTGGTCAAAATCCATAAGAGATTAGTTAATCTGAATTAAATGAGTATATTTAAACGTTTTTATAAGTAAATATTTTCGTCAGAATATATTTTAAAATAAAAATAGTAAAGGTTACCTAGAACCGGAGGAACAGCTGAGTTGATTAATGACAAGATACAGGAAACAATTCCAAGCTTTAAATCCTCATCAGCCTCTACCTGGCCTAAGCAGATGGAGACCTTAAAGAAACTGTGAACTACCCCCTTGACCAATGAACCAAATGTTCAACAAATGCTGTTTCTTCCAATAAACTTAGTTAACAAGAAAGTATTTTGACTGTCTTTACTTTCAGTTCAATACCTAAAATTCCATCTTATATAGATCTTTTTAATTATTTTTTTAAAATTAAATTATAAAATATCCTATTTCAGTACCTTGCGCTGTTACAAGAGCCAATAAAGCAGTAATTATGTCCTAAAAAGAAATGGGATATTTTCTATATTTTTATTAATTAAAAATATCGTAAAATAAAAAATTAATTAAAAAATTAATTAATTAAATTCCGGCCTACCTTTAGAATAAAGAATGTGTTGAGGGAACTTTTCCTAAAAATCCAGTTCAAAATTATAAAAAAATAACATTTCTTTTCATTATATTCTATTATATCATTATTTCATGAGATATCAAATATTACAAATAATTCATGTTCTATTTAAATCTAGTCTCTTATCTTTCCAGTAGAACTTTAAAAGGAATACTAACATTTTATTTTCAGGAGGTGCTAATGATGCATTTTACTATAATGGGGTTCCTTCCATACCGTAAAAAATTAATTCGGATCCAAAAACAAGAACTGGATTCAAAACCGGATCCGGATCAAGCTAATGAACTTTAAAAAGTTCTGTTAATATGTTGATCCAAAAAAAACTACAAAAATGTTTGATTCGCTAATTTTTATTTAAAAAAACTTGTTTTACATTTAAATGTTAACTGTTTAGGAAGGTGTTAACGGTAACTCGGCCGACATTAAAAATGTGTGTTTTGACTTTATAGCAACAAGTAATTTTTTCGATATTTTGGTTGAAATATTACCCTTACATCAAGATCTTGAGCACTTTTATCAGGTGCAAAATTGGAATGTACAATTTTTATGCTAATAAAGGGGGGGGGGCACAAAACGTAATACTCTCCGGAAAATTTAAACAGTGTTCAAACATAACATGATTTTAAAAATATCTGAGCAAAAGTGCTCGCGGGCGCGCTTTTAGTTAAAAAGTACGATTTTTTTCACATTTTCACAAGCTTTACACCTTTCAATGAGCTTGAATTTGCATCAGGTCGCGATTAAACAAGTAATCCCTGAATTCGAGGTCAAAATTGACTTTGGTGGAGCATTCTGACCGGCGCGCTAGAATCAAGATGTTACAATATGGGTCATCTTCCAATAAGTTTTACATGTCTTACATCAATTAATAGGATATTGGGCAAGAGGATTCCATTTCTTGGACTCAAAAGTCTTTTAACCACTCTGATCGTCACGCTATTATCCTACCGTTACGTTATGAGTCATCTTACCAAGTTTTTGCATGTTGTATGTCGATTCCTAAGTAATTGGGCGTGAGGATTCCATTGTTTGGGTTTAAGTTTTCGTAAGACCACTCTGATCGGCGCGCTAGAAGCCAGCAGTTACCTTCTGGGTCATCCTGCTATATGTTTTACAGGTAATATGTCGATTCTAGGGTACTAGACACAAGGATTCTATATCTTAGAATAGTTTGATAACTCTGATCGTCGCGCTCCTGGCCAGCGGGTAATTATGGGGTCAACCTATCAAAGTTTTTCATGTTGTATGTCATTTTATAGGTATTTAGACCAGAGAAATCTATTCTTTTTCTTGAAACTTGTGTCGAAAACACTGGTAAGATTGCAAGAAACCATGATAATGGATTATTTTACTGATGTTTGTTTAGGTTGTATATCAGGGTTTATTCCATGATATACCAGAAAACATCTTCAAATTGGCATGTTAACCTATTTCTTAGAATCCATGCCACAAAAATCTGAAAAGAAACAAAATCGTTTCCATTAAATATATGCAGAATAAATGGTACAACTTGTAAAAATGTAAAATTATCTTGAGTTAAACTTAAACCTACTTAAACATTCTCAATCGGCAAAAGGCACACGTGTTTGGACTACTTTTCTAATGGGCTTACTGTCATCGTTTAGATACCACACATTATTCACTTTACTTGCACATACACAGTGTCCAGGTGTTGTTGCATCACTTTAAGGAAGATTGTATATTAAGTGATTAATCAAAAATACTATCCAATTTTAAAAAGCAAAAGTGTATACATCTATTTGTTGGCTTCCAATCAGCAATAGAAAGCGCGCCGATCAGAGTTTTCTAGTGTAATTTGCTCTGATCTTTTTAAAATTGCATTTTGCAGTTATAATACACAATGCGCATGCAAAAAATCAGCGTCCTAAGACAATGCTAAGAGTTTAAATTTTCCGGAGAGTAGTACGCTTCTTTGTGCCCCCCCCCCCCCATTTTAAAATTTATAATTTTTACTATATTGCGACAGTTTTGTAGAAAATGATAAGTTTGAGCATGTTTCCTGTAGTATATACTGATGAGGTTGATCACTCGCAGAGTCAAATTCTTGTTGGGATTCCCTTGGGGGGACTTCAAGTAGAGCTGCAGGGGGAATATTATGTATTCCTAAAATATTCATGTAGAGCTGCAGGGGGAATATTATATATTCCTAGAATATTCAAGTAGAGCTGCAGGGGGAATATTATATACTCCTAGAATATTCAAGTAGAGCTACAGGGGGAATATTATATACTCCTAGAATATTCAAGTAGAGCTGCAGGGGGAATATTATATACTCCTAGAATATTCAAGTAGAGCTGCAGGGGAATATTATATATATATATTGCATAAAGTCTAATTCTCTAGTCATACCTGAACTGAATCTAGAACTGAGGGATCTGCTTCTTGAATCAAGGATTCTAATTTGACAAGATATTTCAGCTCTTGAGTCTGCATAAATCCTAGAAATACATTTTAAAAACTTTTTCTTTCCTTGACAATTTGTTTAAATGTGTGCAAATGGTAATTTTATTTATAACTGCAGTTTTCATGTGAAATAAATTTTCAAAACCTAGGCAGTGAAGCCGGAAGGGGCGGAACTTTTCTTCGTTTACCCCAGATTGCATTTTCATCTGAAATAGGTTTGTAAATAGTTCGCCTTAATAATTTGCTAGATAAATAACGTTCAGTCATCGGTAATTATTTACTACATAGCACCTCGGTAAATTCCCGGAGTACNCCCCATCTCCTATCAATATAGAGCCTGAGCTCGGTAACTAGCTGAACTCCTGAAAGGCCAATGAAGTTAGAAAAGAGATGTTTTAAATTATCACACCCGTGATATATAAACATAAACATACCAATTAAACCAATAAAAAATTAAACCAAAAAATCTAGCAACGGCCCCTATACTAGCAGCAACACTCGGATTATACAGGGTGTCCCACATCATATTAGATCGTCAATGGATCTAAATTACGATTTTCGGGACTGATCAGAAAATTTAAGAAGAATATAAAAATTTTCTTGTAGAAAATGCTAGGTTTTTAAAGTTTAACATGTGTATTTTGGCGTTATAGCTACAGAAGATAATCTAATATGATATGGGACGCTCTGTATATTGTTTTATACTTTTTACTTTATCCTACCCACAAAGAATGCGACTATAAAGACGACCTAAATCTATTGAAATGTAATAATCCCAGGGTTAAACTAAGTCTAGGTCCAAAAGTCGTGTACTAAGACGGGTCCGGGGTCTGTCCTATAGAACGATTTTTGGACCCCACGGCCCCCCCCTGGGGGGGGGGTCAAAAAATCGTTCACTAGGACAGACCCAGGATACAGACGTCTGTTGTGAAGTCTCATACTTTGTGGCCTGGGTATAATTTAACCCTGAATAATTTCATGTTAAAATAGTTTAAATCAATGTCATAAACAAAATAGATATGGTTTCACAAACGTTCTCTACACATACACGAAAGAACTAGCACCTCTATCAAATATAATTTGTCGATTAAGTATTTCATGCATTAACACTTTGATTTTTGTTATTTTGATATCTGAATTTGAAAATGGATTGCATTGGAGCTATGTTTAGATGGAGCAGCTGTGCTGTGGAATATTTTGCGGCAGTTGCGCTCACACCCCAGTAGCAGCTTCGCAGCTTTTACATTTGAAATTAATTAAACTTTCGGAGTGTGTCGCGAACGAGAGGGGGGGAGTGCAGAAATAAACAAATGCCCGCCACCCAAACGTGTTTTGCGGCATGCGAGCTCCTCAATGAAGAATCAGAAATAAAAAGTTAGCATTAAACCGTTTATTTCTCAGAAAAGACCATATTGACATCTGTTAATGGCCCATGGTGTACAATATTGTTAAAACTTTCTTTTTTGCTCCATCTGCAGTTTCGAAAATAAATCTATAAATACGCACTAGAAATAAAATTACGTATCTTAGATCCAATTCACAAATAATTAATGACTGCATTTCATGATTCGAGTTTAAGGGCATATACGAGGGGGGGCCAAGCCCCCCGTCCAAATTCCCCTACGCGTGCCCCCTCCGAGGAGGAGGAGACTGATGGGGGGTTCTTTTAATATTCATCTTCCTCAGGCAATCTACATTTTACATTGCATTGCATTGCACTAACCCAAACTAAAAGATTAAGAAAAGAATTAAAATATGATTCACAACAATACCCTTCAAAGCTTTGTCTGATTAAGTGTTGCATAAAAAACCATGTTTCCCCTTTTGAAAACTGAATGTTTTTTCTGGTTTCTCTTCAAAATGACTCGCGCATTTCTTGCTTCAGAAACGATCGATGGAGAAATTAAAGGTTTCAAAGGTTTTTCGGACATGCCACTCTATAAATGGAGGGTCACTTGAAATTTCATTAAAAAAAGCTTTAATCAATACTGCCTTCAGTGTAAATATATATTTGATATCATAATTTATTATACAATATCCATCAATCCCAGGCGCGCAACTAGACATTTGGTTAGGGGGGAAATATTTTTTTTTGCCCCCCCTAAACATTTTTAGGGGGGGGGGGGCAAGAAAATGTGTGTTATACTTTAACAATAAAAAACTAACCTTACCAACCGGATATTCAGCAAGTCAACACATCTGATATGAAATAAAAAAAGAAATATTCTGGTATAAATCACAAAAATAATTAATTTACAAATTACATATATATATATAAATTTTCATTAGTTATCCATAAATCAAATATGTACATTGTACTCAGAAACTGACAAGAAATGCCTTTCATTAAAAATTCATGATTTTTATTACATGAAACATATTTTTTTTAATATGACACATCACACAATATTTGCGGTGAACATGTAGGATTAATTGAATAGTTGTACTACAGTATTAAAGCAATATCATAATAAGTGGCAGAACTGATAGTGAATAAAAAGGGGTTTTTAAGGGTGGGGGGCACAAATGCCCTGGTACCTCCCTGGGTCGGGCTGCCTGTTAACTAAAATTACCTCACCCCACCCAAAGTAATATCTATCTCCATTTAAAAGATATTTTCAAAAAACCTTTACGTTGTTTAGATTTTTTGTTTTCGCCTACTCGAGTTCAACATCATACAACAAAAATAATTACATGCAGAAAGAACAAAAATAGAAAATTGGTCTCATCGCACTCACTAGTGAAAATGAAGTATTAAATTCACTAATTATTTCAAGCTTCATTGTTAATTGAGGAGTGAGCATGCGCAAAGGTTCAAAAACGTTATTTTATTTCTAGCGCTTCATGTGGCATATTTATATATTTATTTTTGATACTGAGGAGCAATAAAGAAAGCTTTAACAATATTTAAAATTAGTTATTGCAGACCATTTATTAATTTGGAAACAAATTATCTTTAAAACATACTATAATGGTAAAAAAAAAATAGATTTTGTTCTTTCTCTCCTTTCTCTTTTTTTCAATTTTTGATTTCTTCTTTTCATTTGTACCTTTTCTTCTTTTTTTTGTCTTATATCTTGTGTCCCCCTCTTAGCACCTGACGGAGTAGATCAATATGGAGTGAGAAGCTGGTCTGTCTTACCATCTGACGGAGTAGATAAATATGGAGAGA